CTGCAAGAACAAGACCAAGACTGGCCAAGACTCGTCTTGTTCTTGCATTTGTTATTGTTTTTTTTTATTTCTGAGGTAAGAAAAAAAAATCTTCTTCAACTAAGAGAATTATCCCAAACCGGTTTTTAATACAAATCAAAACCGGAACTATCGTAAGGACTTTTCGATTCGTTAATAAATAAAACAACTGAATACATAATTTCTTGTATATTTTTACATTTAAAATAATACAGGCGGTTACATTAAATAATAAATAAGTCATACCATTTACATATAAATTGTGATGTACATTTGGGGTTACACTGTACACCCTAAGTTATTTATAGCTACATGGATCACGTGCACAGATGCACACACAGTTTGTGCAGGTCACATTGTGATAACCGTTATATAATGATAGTAACGAAAAAACTTTTCCATATAAAAGCTCTGAAAGCTCGAGAATTCAATGTTAACATCAAACCCGTAGATTACACAGTTAAATACATTTAAACGAGAGTTTAGTAAACGGATAGCTAAACGGTAGTTAAACACTGCAGAGTTAAGTTATCAGTCGTCGGTTAAAATGTAGTCTGTGCTATCTAAGAAATATTATCGGAACAAATATATATTACGAATGTCTGAATGTCGCCTAATTTTTGAGTCAGCCTTAATTTTTTTACAAATCAATTTAAACAGATTGTAAAATTATAAAAAGTCGAAAAATTCGTTTCTGATTTTCTACACCATTATAAGACGAAATGTGCATAAAATTAATTGTGAATATTGTAAAGAATACAAATAGATTGATAGTCTTTCAATTGTGCTTTGTCATATACATAATTACTAACTAAATATTTTTACTTCATCATGATCAATGGTAAGGAAAATTATTTTATATTAAAAATCAAACACTTCTAAGGATTAAGATTTTGATTAAATCTCTTCTGAACCTAAAGACCATAATACAAGAGATGAAATATTATTATTTTTGTGCACTTTTAATATAGGAAATAATTTTTCAAACATGAAAAAAAATATATGCTACACAAGTTTGTATCGTAATACATACGAAATCTTTCACGTTTGTCATTCAATAACCTACGTTAATAATAATGTGTGAAGTATGAACGAAAAACTGTTAACGCTACGTATGTAGTGACGATGAAAAACTTGGAGTAAGCATACTATAGTAAAATCAATTTAAACATATTATATGTAGGGTATGTGAATAAAAGGTTTAATAAGTTTGAACTTCAATGGAATGTCAATTATAAAATGGAAGCTGGTATTGGCACATCAGTACGTAAAGTTTTTTACTGGAACTAAATATAACTATATGTAATATATATCAGAGAAAATGAATATAAGAACACCCTAATTAAACGCGTCTTAGATAAATTTAACTTAATACTTAATTTCAATAAATTACAAAAGTATATAAAAAACCTAATTGTATGTATTATTCATGTTATACACAATATCACTTATAAAGTATAAAAGGCTGACTCATTATTTTATCATCATATATTTCCATACTGCTGCCTTTTTTTCCTTCCTAATAATCTATCTCATTAAATCGCAGCTGCTATTTATTTAAAAAGATATTGTAAATTGTAAAAAAGAATTTGCTAAGCGAAAAACGTCTATACTGTATACGGAATAGAATTCAAACTAACTACGCGATTATACTTAACTAAGCCTAAAATGGCACATACAAGAGCTTCCAGCGCACAAAGTATAGTCCGCTCCTATCCAACTATAGTACAAATCGTAGTTGGACACACCGCAAACATTTATATATTAATATTCATATTAAAAAATATATAGCAACCTGAATAAGTGTTGCTAAAAACATAGTGGAAGAATATTTTAAAGTGGAATTAACTTCCAACTTCAAATAAATTTACTGGCCTTTTATAATTACTAAAAAAAATATATTGACATCTCATGGAAAACATTTAAAATTTAATATTGGTACACATTAAACTTTATATAGTATTACTTCGTTATGGGAATAGCCTGAGAAATATAGAAATAACTCTGAGAAAATTAACAAGCATCATTCATATTATGTTCAGGAAGTAGAAAGCATATACAAAAATTATGAAAAATTCCAAAAGATGGCGCTATTCAAAAATTAAAAACAATTGGAACCCTCACACTAGTAGTAGAAAATAAATTTCATAATAGTGTTTAATCATATGACATAACAGATTTCTTTGTTTAAATTTCAATATTAATATATAATTTGTGGCATGTCCAACCTTATATTCAACTCCAAATGTAGGTAATATGAAATACAATATTAAAAAAAATTGTGCTGAATTATCTATACACATCTACATAAATAGCTATTGCACTGTACAATCAATTAGTTTTTAAACCAAGCATAACTTTAATACTTATTATATATGTAGAATTCGTCAGTTAATATCATCATATTATAATTATAAAATATTCATATACTTTGATCGATATAACGGTTCAAAAACTAATTAAATGCAAAACATTTATAATACGGAAGCAACTTTTCTATATACAAATCCTGCTTTATGATATATCGCAAAAAAACTAACATGGGCAATTCTTTCTAATTTATCATAAATACAAACAGAGTATAATAAAAAAAATTGCTAAATAATTCTATTTAAAAATCATTACATAGAATATTTTCTGTAGTAGAATCACCCACCATGACCGAACGGAATCCCATCATAATTGACCAACCACTAAAAGCAGTCTTCACAATAACATTAAAAACGCTAGATTACAATAAAAATAATGGACCATTAATGATTTAGTAGGAATTATATTATATTAAAACTATTATTCGTGTATAGTCGAAAAGGTATCGAGATTATTAAAAATATTTAGTCCATTTTATATAGATTATAAGAAAAAAAAATGTTTATAACTTGAACTATGCTTATTGCCCTTTCCCTGTTCCCAACCTTTCCTTGTATTTCCTTATTCCCACCCCTCCCTTTTCCTCCACAAGTAAGGTTGGCAACGCATCCGCAACATCTATGTTGCGGATGTCCATGGGCGGCGGCCACTACTGACCATCAAGTGGGTCGTCTGCTCGCTTGCCACCTATAACATAAAAAAAAAAAAAAAAAAAAAAAAAAAAAAATCCGAATCTTATTCTCCTTCTACCTGGCGATTTTCCAGCTTTAGCCAGGGTCTGCCTTACATGTCGTGAATAGTTTTGGCTAATTGTTTTTACGACCGGCCGCCTGCCTGACACCAACCCTCTTTGGGAATGCATTAATCAGTGACGTCTAAATACTCTTAGAACTAAGCTTATTCTGGATAAGAGTTAATGTTTTTATAAAAAAAAAAATAATGTAATACTTTTGTGTAAAATAAAATGGACTAAATTTTAAAAACATCTCATTAAATACAACACTAAATAAAAAAAATTGTTACATATCAAAGATGAGAACGCTACATCTAATATACATGGTCGTTATATGTGGTAAATTCATTGATTCTGGCTGGGTAAGACTGTTTCATAGGAATATCATTTAATCAGTAAGCCAGTTGTATACATGTGATTTTTGTTAACATTAATTTTTATTAATACTATTTAGATATCATTAAAAAGCAATCTCACCAGAACCATAGGTCATATGTGAAAAATTATCTTAATGATGCACACAACCACATTAATATCATAAGAATTTATCTTACAAACATTTAAATTTCAAATACGTTCGATACAACCAGACACTATATGTACGAAATATTGTTCAAATAGCTTAACAGGTGGTCGCCATACTGACTGGCAGCTCAGCCAGTCAGGCTAACTGACTAACAAAGCTTATTCCCAATCGGCAATAAACATGTGAGACGTTTAAAGCCATAATGGGCAGTCATTTGAATGATAAAACACTTATATTTTACATAATAATCTAATATTTTACACTGATATGGGAAATAATTGGAAAATGGACAAGAATATTATATTATTGCGGTTTTCTTCAAATATATTTATTTAAAGATACGAAAATATATCCTTTCAACATTATAACAGTTATTCTTTTTTTATTTGAAAAGTTAGCTATAACATATAGGCTTCAGTGATTTCAAAATTTAATATAACCTTATTCATAATCCAATGTTTCACATATTACAAGAGGCCTTAGAGATTATTAACTAAATAATATTTGGGAATAAATGCATGTAAAATCATTTTAAACATAAGAATAAAAAAAAAAGAAAATACTCAATGTATTGAGTGCTATATAAAAATACAAAATGTAAAAAATAAAATCAAAAAAAATGCAATTAAAATAAAATACAAAGATATAAAATCTAAATAATAATTTTTGGTACATTTTAAAAAACAGTTTTACACACATTCAGATTTGTAATAACATCAAATTAATATATATTATTAACATTACAATATAGTTAACCGTATTCAATACTTACATGACATTTTGTTTACAACAGTCAGCTTCATTATGACAACACTGAGTAAACTAAAACACATGCACTTTGTTTACACTTAAACAGTTTGTACACAACACAGTGAGTATTACAGTACATTCACCTGGAAACCTGTTCTGATGACGGAGACCTGGAAGTAAACAAGTAAATTTAGTACTCATTATTCATTAATTATTCATTCATCTTAAGACTTAAGGGCCTTACCAGAAGGCATATTGTTATTTATAACATTTATAAATATGGTTTTAAAAACAATTTATTAGCATATATTGCATTTTTGCTAGATTTAAATATCCATGATATGATTTAAATGAAAGCTGCCAAATCTTTAATATCTAAGATATTTTTTATTATAAATAATTTATATAGATTATTATCAGAAGAAAGTTCAAGCTGAAATATTTTCTATATTAACGAATTTTAAGGACATTTTTTTACAATTAGTAGTAAATTAAATACTAAATAATTAGATACGCGGAATTATCCAATGGTAGTTATACGGATTTGCACTATTCCCGACGATATGTTGTACTTCAAATTATATATGTATATATATACCAGGTTCAGCTATCAGGCCTCGGTAGTTTAGTTGCATACGCGGTGAGGGCGCAGTATGCCGCCAGTAGAGCCTCAGGCGAGTGGGTTACGGGCCGCTCTTGGGAGGTCTGTGAGGCCTGCGAGGTCTGTGAGGCCTGTGAGCTCTGTGAGGCCGGGGAAGCCGGTGAGGCCTGGCAGCGCGCGTGAGCGTTGAGAGCACTACTGCAGTATAAATCAGCGCCCACACAAGGTGATGCCCACTCACTGCCCGGCTCTTTGATATCCGGATTCCTTACACCACCACAAGCAGCGCTCAGAGAACAAAATGTTAACGCTCGCCAGCCGCCGTATCTAGAATTTGATAAATATTAATGCATATATGAAAGGAAAATAATAAGAATTACTGATTGTTATTACAGCTACCTTATTCGAAAATATTAATTGTATAAAAATTTATATCTATTATTATAGGTTTAGCCACATCTACGTTGACTAAGTTACTTATTTATATATTTGACCATATTATATTACCACGTACACGAAGGTGGAAAAATAAAACTGATTTTACCACTTTTTGCCATACTAGTCTTTTCTTTGACGTAACGAATAAGACTTACAAGCAAATCAATTGCATACTAGATAAAGTTTTACAAAACCCAGTTCAGGCATAACTGCATTATCGAACAGACATTCATCATCACAAACTTTCCTATCCTCATATTTCATTCCTATATTTCTACGAGTTCCGATAGATGGCGTTCAAAATAATCACTAAAAGACTTATAAGCAAACTAAAATATTAAGACTTCTAAGGATATTAATAGGATCAAATAACTCACTTGTCAACAACAACGACTGGTCCATTCTTATACTCCATCTGACACCCAGCGACGAACTCAATCAATGCGAACGAATCCTGATAGGGCGCTATTAGTCTATCGATGGCTGCTTCCCGTTCACTCCCGCTAGAATGCCTCACAGCCCGAACGTATTCATTATCATCAGGCCGCCCTGCACTGTATTTGGTGGTAGCACCTTTCAACCAGCCACTGCACTTTATAAACTTAACACTTAACTGGTAATCGTCCTGCAATGAATGCACGCTAACGTTTGTCACTTCTATAACCCTATCTGATGGTATGTTTGGGACGTGTTTAACTTTCTCGAATGTGTATACAGGTCTTCGTAGTTCAGCTTCCTCTTCTACTGTGAGCGATGGTGTGATTGGTGGAGGCGGTGGGGCAGTATCTGGCGGTGAACCAGCCGCTCTTGAGCCCCACTCGGGAAACTTGAACTTGGTGGGAGAGCTCAGCTTAAAGTTCTTCAAGGACATCTTCGATGGACTTCTCGGTGATTTCGGGCCGTTTTTCTTCTCTGATAATGAGGAGAATAAATCTCCGTTCGCTATAGATTTCCGTGCGGACAGATCTCTGTTACTGAGCCGCTCCAATCGGAGTTCCGTTCTATCGAACCTATAGGCTGGTTCCGTATTATTAACTGGTGAATTATTATCAGGTATGAGTCGTTCGTCGTCCGCACACTCGCTGCCCTCCTGTCTTCTATACCCGTTAGTCTCAGGCTCGCTGGGCGTGTCCGTTCGACTCGTTCTATCCGATCTTCTATGAGCCACATACACTTCCTTAGATACAAAACTCGCACGGAAATTAGCCACGAACAGTTCCTTCTCATCTTCCGTCGGCCAGAACACATCGCACTCCTTTAAAATAAACATTCAAATTATAATTATAATCTCTTAAAAGTAGACTTATCTCGATTTGGACTTTTATATTAAATAAGAAGTTACATAAACATGACAAATATGGCTATATACACATAATGCCCTATAACTATTCACATATTGAATAAGGAAGTAGATTTAGCACTTTAATTCTTGTATATACAACGTGTAACGTAATTAACGCACACCCTCAAATACCCCAATGCGAATATAATGATATAAACGCAATGCATACACCAAATATTATTTATATGTGCGTTTGCATTTTTTATTTGTGAAATTAGTTATCCCAATTTCGTGCAAATAATATGGTCCGCTATTCAGCGACACTCTGTACTCGCCGCGCCCGCGCCCCTCTCTCCGAGTGCCGTCCGACAATAATAAGAAGTAGGTAACAATAAGTACACGAAATAACTACATACATTATGATTTTTCTTTCCATCACACTTTTCAAGCTTTAGATTGTTGACATTGAATTTTCTTTTTAATGTCAAGCCAATATTTTATAATTACTGATTTGTTAAATTAAATTTGTAAATAAGAATTATTAAACAGCTGAAAACGCGTGATTTGAATAGACACCACAATACCTACGACAAAGTTAAACACAGTCGGCCTGTTTAAATGGTGTGTATCAAAATATTTACAATAATTTAAAGATCATAAACAAACTTACAATTTAATTTGCACTCGCACAGCGTTGTCGTTTTAAAACATTTTCAAAATGTCCACCGCCTTGTTTAATGCACTTTATTGACCGTTTTCGCAATTGTGGTTTTATTTTAGATAATACTGCAATGTCACTTTTCACTTTTACAAAGGCGGTTATTATCTTATTTTTTAGTTCCTCGGCACTTGTTATGTCTGTGTTATAAACTAGCGATTTAATTCGCCCCCACAAAAAAAAGTCGAGTCGCGTCAAATCAGCTGATCTAGGAGGTCAATGGACACGTGCGTAGGTATTTGATGTATTGAATGTTAGTGTACCGAAACGACACAGCGAAATGCGCGACTAAGATTTTATTTGCACTTTACACTTGACCTCTTTTCGATAAGGTGGACGCGGCGTGACTAACTTACCCAAAACACATTTTGTTGACTTCGATGTTTAGTTATTATTACTCTGATTCCCGGAATTATGCCTGCCGTCTCGCTCTATTGTAATGTTATTAAGCCGAAGAAAGAAGGAGAAAGTAATAATTTTTGTATTACGCGGCTTTCTTTTATGCACTGTAGTGACCTTGCTGTGTGCCGGTTGTCGCTATGGTGTTGTGTGCGTAGTTATTATTAAATATTATTTTAGCCTTGAAATAAGTATCAGTTTTCTTTAATTGAATGATGATAACTAATTAAATATTTCATTTTAAAAATCTTAATACCCTGACTTACGATCCATTTTCGTTTCCATTAATTTTCGTTTCTATGAAGTGTTTAGATAACTGTGTGTAGGGTGACTATAATTTACTAAGTTCTATCTAAATTTAGTATCAGATTCTGATCAAACTACTTTCAGGGTGTGCGTTAATTATGTTACACGTTTTTACATAATTCGAATGAGAATCATGTACCGAGTATTCTCCTTAAATATTGATAGTAATTCACCAGTCACCCTGTATAACAAAAACATATAAAAGTATCGATATAAACAGACCGGATGTTCATCATCGTGTAGTAACAACACTAGTTGCGCCGTGTGGTCCCACAACAGTCGCCACGGGTCCGGCGCCTCAGTATGTTGACACACGGCGTACTCTCTCACACGACGCACGCCACACACCCACGAAGCATTTATATATTCGCTTCCTGGAATAAGAGTCAACTTTTTTTAATGAAAGTAATATTTTTCGGATATACTACGCGACTTTATATTTGATGTCTGTCAGACATTCACATTTCGTCTTAATGATTACGGTTGCTGAAAAGTAGCCGAAACGGCGGGAGTATGTAGTTTTTATAAAAATAAAGTAGCGTAGTATATCCGGAAATTTTTGTTTAATTTAAATAATAAAACTGGCGATAATCTTAGACTTCACTATGAATAAAAAAATTATTTGTATGTGTGATATTTATATATACTTTATACAGTGTACAGTGTGACACTGACTGTAGTTAGGAGAGTATTCACTAATTCAACATTCTCTTATTAACAGCATTTCATAAAGTTACGTCACTAGAGGGAGACACGTGTCATTCATAAAGTGTGTCATTATATCATCAAGTCTAGAATCTAATTTCCATTGCTCTTGTACAATAATTTTTACAAACTTATACAAATATAATTATCAAGAAGATTTATGAACATACTAGCTTTCCACCCACGACTTCGCCCGTGTGGAGTTTGGTTATATTGCGTTTCCAAGAGAACTTTTCAAAATTTTGGAATAAAAACTATCCTATGTTCTTTCTCAAGGTCAACTCTACAATGTACCAAATTTAATTAATATCAGTTCAGTGGTTTAGGCGTGAAAGCGTAACAGACAGACAGAGTTACTTTCACATTTATAATATTAGAAGGGATATTTTTACCTTCAACTCCGGGTTTGGGTACCAGCATGACCCTCGCAGAGTCTGAAGGCAGGATGCCGCCCGGTCTGTTCTTATCAGCGTTGTGAGGGGCTCGAGCACACACACTCGCCTCCACCCACGAACGTGTTATCAACTGATGAACATAATAACTTAATTATTTGATTGTTCTTACGTACAAGGAAATTAATAATTATATTGATTGAGACATCAGTAGTATAATATAATGTTCACATTTTAATAATGAATGAATGATAACAATTACAAAATGATCTAAGCCACATATAATATCAACGGCTTTCTGGTATATATCCTGATATATAGGCTTATTATATATTAAATATTCTAACCTGATTCTGTTTTTCCAACAAATTAACGGGAGGCGGTCCTTGATACAGTTGATGTCTGTTCGACAGAGACCGCATCCGTTCCAACAGCGCGTAATTTTCGGCTCGGTTTACTCTGGAAACAATGTATTTAATAAATACAAAATTATCACTAATAGGTACCTACATTATTGATACAAATATAATAACTTTCGTGGCATTATGCAAAACCTTTTTTACTGATAATTTTTTCATCGTTTTGAATGTAAGTATCAAATATTATTAGACTAATTATAGTATGTAAGTATACCTGCGCATTTCTTCTTTCTCTTGTTCATTCATACTATTATAGGCGGCCATTTTCTTATTATAAGTATCTGTGGAGCGCGGCGCCAGATCATAAACTCCCTCTGAATCATCACCATTCACCAATCCATCCTTCTCTTGGTTGTCCACAGATGATTTACTTTCGCTGTTCAATTCATCAGTCTTTATAGACACTTGACTGCTTCCATTTTCTACTATATTCTCGCTGCACTCTATAGATTTAACGCTCGACATATCTGTTTCACCGTTCATTTCGTTAACGCTCTTATGCTTGATAGGATTAAGGTCCATAACAGCTAGTTCTTCTTCTGATATTGGTTCTAGAAGCTTCGCAAGGTATTCCCTAGCTTTTGTGAATTCGACTTCTGTGTTGCCTGACCGCACGTACTCTAGTAAGGCGTCATGTACGAATACATATTGTTCTTCAGTCTGAACTAGATGGTTCCTTTGTGTTCTCGCGCGACAGAGGAACCCTAATGGTGACAGGGTTCCCGTTAGTTTTAATTGGTTCAGTTGTGCGTCTATCACTATGTATGTACCCGTTCTGCCAACGCCAGCACTGAAATAAATTTTAAGAAAACGATTAACAAGTTATATTTAAATATTTGTTTGAGTTTTCGACAAGAAAAAAAATGTTTTAGGGGGCATTATATAATTTACCATCAAATCCTTGTAGATATATTTGTCAAAATGTATCTTAAATAAACATATCAGCTTTTCCCATTTTGAGCGATAACGCCCTTTGGTAAAAGGTTGGCATAAAAAAATAATTGATTCTCAAAGTGGGCTGTACACAAAATAAGTTTGGAAACCTCTATAATGTATACCTGCAATGAACGAGTACTGTGGCCGGATCTGCTGCGGCTCGTACGAAGGGCAACACAGCTAACGGATGCCGTGGCGTGCCGTGGTCGGGCCACACGGTGTAGTGGTACTGGACCACGTGGCGACCCTCGCCGCTCGCTGTACTAGACTCGCTCGACGATTCGCTACCCTGGAATAGTTATAGCGTAGGTTGTGAGTAATTTGCCATTGAATTAAATATAATTATACATAGCGTACGTTCTATCAGGGTTTCGCTCACAAAAAAATACTATTATATTTCTTGAAATCCATACCATGTAGTGATTGGAGTTATAATCTAAAAATATACCAAATATTCCGTATTTTTATTACTCAGTGCATTTTAATATACAGTGTAAACTCCATATAACGACACTCGATTTAACGACAAACTCTCTAAAGCGTCGAAATCATTTGACTTTGGTTGGTTTAGCTTGTCTACCATACAATCATACACTCTATATAGCGTCACAGCCACTCTCAATAACAACAAAATTAAGTAATAAAAAGTTTAAGTTGTTAAAAAGTTGCTAAAATTAGTAAAAAATGCGCAGCTGTGTACGTTTTTTTTGTCGCTTTGTTATCCTAGCCCGCAATAAACTCCACTGTCGTAATCATGCATACCAAACTTTCTAAGAAATTCGTTCTTCACCAATATGCCTCAATATCGCAAGATATGAATAAAATACGTAAAAAATACAACAACATTACTGGTGCAGCAAAACACGTCAAACAAAAACAACAGACTTTATAACATTCTTTTTTATGTACATAAGTACTAACAGTAGTCTGAAACAAACTTTGTCTTTTTCTAATTCTGATTTTTCTTCCCTCTATTTAACGGCAACTCTCTATAACGCACTAAAATGCACGGTCCCTTCAGTGTCGTTATATAGAGTTTACACTGTATATTATTATAAATACCTAAATATATATGACGGCACATGCACAATATGTTGTAAAATCTACCTTATTTTAAGATAATTAGTTGATATTTTGGTTTTACTTCTTTTATGTTTATATTTTATTATTTTCGTTTATTTATGTGATTATATTTAAAGAGAAGACACTCAATTTATTTAGAATATGTTATGGCATTTTAAAAAAATATTTGTTCGTCTGATTAAATTTATTTTAAGTTTATATTTAAGTGTATTCCTGATTTTAAGTTTCTCTTTATTTTTTTTGATTATTTTTAGTTGTTAAATATTATGAATGTAATTTAAAAAGAAACTCAATTTATTATAAAGAGCCGTCTAACGTCAATTGAGTGTCAATTTGCCACTAACGTCAATTAGATTGTCGAAGGGGGCTTAAAATAAGATAGTTTATACAAGATATTGTGCATGTGCCGCCATATATATCAAACACATTTATACATTCATACGATATAGAATCATCCCAGTCATACACACACACACACGCGCACACACAAACACACACACACACACGAATATTATGCTCACCGCGACCGTGCTCTTAACCCTGAGATGTCTGACGGTGTAAGCGGCCCTCACGTCCTCGTACAGCAGCGTCACGTGTATTCCGCCGAACTCCGCGGAACTTCCGCGCCCGCCCGCCGGCCAGTACATGTCGCATTTACGCTGATAACACATAATAAACATAAAAAAATACGAAAAAATTATTTTCAAACAAGGAAATTTGTGAATTTCGGTGAGTTGATATTTATTGCTCTTTTACGTAAAATATAACCTAGGGATTTGAACTAATTTTCATTAATGTAGATTAAATAATTGAATTACGTGTAAACTCCAATTTATCATCACATTCCGTCTTATTTACCAGAGGAAACTTTAAACCGTGGTATGTAGTATGACGAAGATACACGCATGTTATTAATCTCCCCTAACTCAATACAAAAGACAATGCGAGTGTAATCGCGAACAAAACTAGTACAATACTAGTAAATGAATTTACGAAATTTTTTCTTCCTTCCCTCAAAAAAACGTCTCCATGCAAGTTGAGTAAAGCGAAATCCGCATTTAAATATAGAACCCTTTTTTGGACATACTCGTAGGTTCCAAATTTAAATCTGAACCTCGATCAAATTTTTTTTTATGAATCCACCCCAAAAAAACCTCGACCCGGTGGAACATACACTAGCCGAGATCATCTCTTTGTATGAATAGCCTGATTCGTCAGTGTAGTGTATGTATCTATACAATAGATATAAAACACTGTCTCAAGTACCACACTGGAGGGGTTGACATGCGCTCGGCAGTCTAATGACTAGCGCGGAGTGGAACGGTTGCGTGCGCCTGCGCTCTAGGCGGCGTAGTAGTGAGCCAGTGACTAGTTATACTTACATGTAGGACCAGGGATCCTACAGCCAGTATTTCGTTTCGTTCGTTCCGCTCGCTCCACTCGATATACATAATGTAAATGTACTAACCCGTCCCCGTTCCACGAGGTTAGTGATCATGACTAATGTGCAGACCCTGTGTTGCCAGATCATTCGCCAGAATGCGTCAAGTGTAGCGGGCGTGGGGCCTTGAGTAGCGATGTACCGGCGTCGCCATACCACCCACTCTAACTTGATCTGACGAGGCACGCCATCTAGTGACAGAGAAACGAAACTATAAATATATTCAACATTTTGTGTGGACGGATAAAATAAATACATGAAAAAAGTTAATAAAATATTGTGGTACATTAATATGTTGGTTGGTTGGTTGGCATGTATATTGTGCAGTCAGATAAATAAGAATTAAAGGATTTACTAAACAAAACCAGTTATAACTTGACTCTGAAATTATTAAACCAAATCATAACTGGTATAATTTAAAGTGAAATTCGAGAGTATGGTACGGAATTCATTTTCTTTGTATTTTTTAATATAAAATAAAAAAATCTTTAACCATTGTAATAATACAATAACTTTTTTTTATAAGTTTACACGGCATATTCAATAACAACACTTGCAGCTGTTTTTGATATTCTTTAAAAAAAATGGTCATGCTGTATCTTATACAGTCTATAATCTAAAGTCTAACGTTTATATTATTAACTTATATATAACATTAACTATCCTATACTTTACTATTGTATTGTACTATAGTATACTGTGAGACGAAACTTCTAGTCATTTCATGGATTCACTTGGTACTAGGTCGATCGTTACAGGGAGAGGAGCTTCAACAGCGCCTGGGACTTGCGACCAAGGTGTAGGTTTAAGGGACCCCTACATATCACATATAACTATATAAATATAACTCACTGATATCAACGTATACATCATCTAGTTGATCATCATCATCACTCCGGTCACTATCTGAGTCTGTTCGTTCTTCAGACTCTACTATTCCTGAAAACTCGATGTTAAGGAACGCTGACTCGATGCCATCAGAAAGATTGGGTGGCGGCTTAGTCGCTCGAACTGAGGGTTGCCTGTGTCAAATATAAATAAATAATTAAAAAGTTTTTAATTATTATTTTTTTTTAACCAAATTTCTGGTACAAGATTTAATTAACTACAGTACATTTGATATAATAGATTCGAGGAAATATTTCAGATACAATAACTGTTTGAAGAAAATTAAATGTTACATGAAAATCAGATGACTGTTATCATTTTTTAAACAGGACATTTTCTAGTCTACACACAGCGTTTGTTAGCTAAACTCATTTAACAGGTTTATGTGCTATCCAAGGAATGAATAACGAATGAGTCACTTTTAAACACACTCCCCCTTTCACCTTAAATTTGTATTTGTCCTGTCCTATGAATCACTTTTAGTTTTTAGTTTTTAGTTTAATTTTCATTCAGTCATTCAGTATTTCATTTTTTATTTTATTTTGTAAGTTTACTTTTTATTTTATTTCTTTTTTATATTTTTATTAAAATTTATTGGTTTTGTTTTTACTGCGGCTCGCGCTGGGGGGAATATTAAGCATGATGTATACCTGTAATAATACCTGTAAATGTATAATACCTGTATAATACCTGTAAATGTTTAATACCTGTATAATACCTGTAAATGTTTGTCACACCTAGTTTTAAGTAATGTGTATTGTATATTTTAAGTATGTGATGATGTGTACAAATGTTGGTAGATCTAATAAATAAATAAATAAATAAATAAATAAATAAATAAATAAATAAATAAATAAATAAATAAATAAATAAATAAATAAATAAATAAATGAATGAATAATTTTGAATTTCATATCTACCTGTCCGGCCTTGCTCTCCTTTCAAGTTTCTTCTCAATGCGTCTCTTGGCAGCGGGGTTTAAAGCGGGTAGCATTCCGTCTATGAAGTTAGCGTTCACATAGTCACAAGCAGCCCCCCTCCCCGCGCCCACACAGCCCGCCGCCCCGCACCTCCCACCCACAGATACACATACACGGCTATGATCGTCTGGAAGAATATTATATACATATATATAAAGGTTTCAAATATATTCCATGGGATTTATTTTCATATAAAATTGTACTATTATGTAAATTTCATGTTGGTGTTACTTATTGTTGGTATGATTGAAATATAAGATTTGTTATTAAGAATTATAGTTTTGTTACATGGGAAAAAAACAATATGATAAACCACAATCTTATATGGAATTCACAACTATATTCAGAAAAGGCCATAGAAACAAACAAAATCATTTCCTTATTCTCCAAGAGGCTCATCAGCGATTATATTTTTTCATCTAATCTTTTATATTTTGTATCATATTTAATGTTTGTAAATATATATTGTAAACTCACAGGCTGTTATGTTCAGGTATCTGTTCTTCAGCCTGTTCTCCGGTCGGTAGCTGTGATGGCTGGTGTGTCCCAGAGCAGCGGACATACCCACCACTATCTCATACTCCTTGCTGTAATATATATATTAATCATTTAAATATTATATAATAGTTCCTTAGACTTACAAAGGTATAAAATCCTGTATATAAAATATATCGTTAACATATTGCACTATTGTATTGTGAGTAATATAAATCTTAATAAATTATAGTAATTAGACATCACTCATAGAAAAATCTATAATCCTAATAAGCTTAAGTTTATCTGTGTGTATTACTCTATAAACACTTATCACATACAAAACAAGTGCACACATATATTATATTATCCACTATAATTCACACTATATTCTGTTTTTGTTTCTATTTAAGTATTTGTACATAATATTATACTACCTGAATCCTATATCTCCGTCAGCGTGTAAGGAGGCCACGTGTGAGGGGAAGTCCCTGGCTTTAACAACCGGATGTGAGGGACCGGACATGCGTGGCGGTCGGGACGAGGACACGGTCCCGCCACATGCTGCCACCGGGGACTGACTTACAGCTGGGGATGAACATACATACAGTTAAAATATAAACATACACTAGAACACTTACTTAAGACATATATAGTTCATTTCAATAGAAATTGGCAATGTTGTAAACAAACATGATCAGCTGATATTGGCAAAGACTTGTCTATGCCCCTAGTGATGTGAGTACTCTTCAAGATATGTTAATCTCAGTTATTACGTAAACTTTTTATATAAAAAATTACTATAATTTATTTGTACTTTAGGAATTTCAATTTGTACCAGAAAAAATGCAATTTTGATAGATTGATTTTGATTTTCATCACAGCCTGTTGAATACACTATAGTGTTTAGTGTAATCAAATGTTTTCAATACTTGTGAGTTGATTTAAAAATGAAAGTCGTGTCAGTTACACCACTTACAGTTCAGGAACGGCTTTACTGCCTTTCTGGAGAAAAAGAGTTCCCCCGGCCAGCTATACATTTCAAAATTTGAAAGTAAAGTAAAGGAAGTTGCGGACAAAAAGTAGTTCATTGTATAATTATTATGTAAAACACTAATTTCTCAAACACAAATAGACTTTCATGAGTAAAAACTGAACGTGTCAATTTGACAAAATGCATTTAACAGGATTTCTAGAAACGGTGGTAGATTCATTGAGATGTGATCATAATCAGGAGTGACATTCCATTGTACGTAAGAACGGAGTAATCGTGGTTAATTGCTTTGTTTACAAGACTGCCAATTTTTATCGAAATGAACTATACACACACTTGACACTTTACTAAAGTAAAATAAAAGTTATTAACCATGACATTGCTTGAATAAATATTAGATGAAATTTAAATTACTTTAGATATTAACATATAAATCGGAAATGGTTTATACATGTAGAAAAATCTAGGCCCAACAGATATACATAGAGAGGATAGATAAGAAGTTTTAAATATAGTTATATCATATGAATAATAATTAATAAAGAATAACTTTAGGATGTTTTTGCTAAAGAAAGTATATTATAATTTTCCCAGCAAACACTAATGTGTTTATAATTAAATGTAATTATGTATAATTAAACATTCCCAGGACTAAGTGGAATAAGTTTTCATAACTAGGTAAATAAATATTTTAAGTATATTATATATCTTACGAGGTTTCTTGTTAATATTGAGTGGAGCCCTGGCTGCCCTCTCGCCGCCCTCCTCTAAGTAATTGTAAGCAGCACTGATACACTTGCTCACACGAGATCTACATCTGAAATTATTAAATATTGTTTAATATACTTATATTCAGACATTAAGAATTTGATTTTCTTTAAAATCAATTCTTTATATGACATTAGCATGTACTAAATTAAATTTCTCAATATTTCTGGATAGTTTCTTTTTACAGTCATAGATAATTAATTTTTATATTTCAAGTTATATATGTTATATAGAACCATTCAAAGACAAGTTTGCATCAAGATCAACACATTACATACAAAGCGTTTTCCGTTTCTTAGTTGTCTCATTACAGTAAAATTTTGTTTTCTTCAATATTATTAAATTTTAAAAACACTAGTGAAACACACTAGTATTTCTGTCTGACCTTTGCAGTTTTTTGCACATTTATTTTTAATTAATTAATTAAGTTTTTGCCCTACTATTTTAACGGTATGCTATAAAAAATACAGACGAATTAGGAAAATATGGAGCGTGTTTTCAATTCCTCTGTATTTTTAAGTACGTTAAAAATATATAACCTAATGACTCTTGCTATAATATAACAGTTAGTGGAGACTGGATAGTACCTCCAGTAAACTAGGGCGGCTCCACCGGCTGCTAGGGCTGCCAGTAGGGCGGCCGCTAACAGTGCGGCCGGAGCACCCGGGGCTTCGCCCTCCACATCCGCGATCCCCGCTCGAGCCGCTACTACCGCGCACGACTCACTTGACACCTCCTGAATAATCATCATTATCATCATCATCATCAGCCTATCAGAGCCCACCGCTGAGTAAAGCCCTCTTCTCACATGGACAAGGTTAGAGCATTAATCACCACGCTTGCTCAAGACGGGTTGGCGATTACAAACTTATAATTGATATTATAAGTCATGGTTTCCTCACAATGTATTCTTCACCGTATGTCAGTGGTGTCTTAATACTCTGAGAAAGTACATATGACTCGGAAAAATCACTTTGGTACTTGCCAGAATCGAACCCGCGCCCTAATGAACGAGAGGCGGACCTTTAACCACTAGGCTACCACGACCACTGAATCATAATATTGCTGAATTTATTACAGCATGGACATGAAATTAATATTAGTTTGTTTTTTTGCCATCAATGACGGTATAAAGTGGTGACATTGTTAAGGTAAATGTTTGTTCCTGTTACAACTTACACGTAAAATTAACTAAACGGATTCTGATAAAACTTCCGTGTTATGTAGACTTTATATCATAATAAAATATAGGCCATATATTATGTTTATATTAGATGCATTTTGAACAGGAACAGATAATAACCGTTGCATGTAGTATTAGCCATTAGGTTAGGTGTCATGATACATGACGCTGGCCGACCATTAACATATCTATTGTTAATGTGTTTTTAAACACAACGCGAAGACAAGAACAAAAACTGATTCCCATGCGTAGGAATATAATCCTACGATCAAAATTAGTCCATATTGAGATCTAAGACTTCGCGAGTATTTATTTAAATGGAACTAATATTTTTTGTTTACAACGCTTATTTTATTATTTTTAAACTACATACTCCCGATGTTTCGGTTAATTAGCAGCAATCGTGATCACGTAATCCGAAAAAAAATGTTTCAATTAAATTTATCTGTCTCAGAAAAGGGAAAGGAAAAATAAAATTTATTAAATATCTTATATTTAAGATTAAACATCTATCTTGTGCGTGTATGTATGTTTTAACAGATATATTTTACAGGGTGACTGGTGAATTACATACTATCGATATTTGAGGACGTGATATTTGACGATCATATATGACAAAATAAAAATTAATATAACATAAATATTAATAAACTTCTAAGTAAAGTTAACCAAAAGTTATGTAATTAATTACGCATCGTGTGAACACCCTACAGATTAGGTATACACACACACTCACACATACGCGTGTCGCGACGTAGTGTTGTATCAGCACGCCGCTTCACGCGTCCACACTTGAACACTTGGAACGTGTCAACACTTTATTTATTTATACGGAAATTTTGTCAAAAATTAAGTGCCTATTTTTTTTACATAATTCGAATGAGAATCATGTACCGAGTATGCTCCTTAAATATTGATAGTAATTCACCAGTCACCCTGTATATAAAGTTATTCTATTAGAAAATGCATTTAATTTACCTTTGGAGGTGATTCCGATCCATTGATAAGTGTTTTCGGCGTCGCCACTGATAAAGTTACGGCGTATATTTTCACCTCGTACATTGTAGAGTTCGATAAATCCACTTTCTGTAATTAATAATTAGAAATATTTATATATTATAAAAATAACATTTGGATTAATTATTTATAGAAATAAAAATTTATAACTAAGTTAATAACGATTGTTAAGATTTCGAGAAGAACATTATTTTATTTAAATATTAATAATAGATCGTAGACTTTATAAAAAAAAATCAGTAGTTTGAATACAAAATTGAAATATGAGTTAATATTAAATAATCCAATGCATATACATGAGTATCTTGAATTACTTTACTAAACTCAGTTAAAATGTTTAAACTATAAAAAAATACATCAAAGTGTTTCAAATGACACAGAATGTACACCGTATCACATGTAATAAGTAATGGGACACCGGTTAAGTCAATCGTTAAAACTTTTACTCGTGTATTAAACACAATCCGACACTCATCTGTCACACGATCTGCTAAATAACATGTTACATTACATTGAACTCTGTAAAAGACTTTACAGTTAGTGAAAAATTTAATATATGTACTTATAATTCGGGTATTAAGACATTTATTTTGCTTGGAAATTTCTATGAGGAATTTTGAACTTATAATGTCAAATACAAACCCTGGCAGACCCTGGCTAAAGCTGGGAAATTGCCAGGAAGAAGGAGAATGTCAAATATAAAGTTGGGTATGTTAAATTAATAACTTTAACATTTTAAATGGGGACAATATCGTACATACATTCATTCATTCGTTCATAAATCCATTTATTCATTCAATCAACACAAAAAAATGTAATATTCTTTAGCAAATTTTTTACATTTCATTATACATTAATATCCTATCAACATAATAACATACATTATCAAGTAATTCAATCGAGAAAAACTATTTGTTCGATGATATTGTTCTTTGCATGTCTGTATGTGTGTGTGTGTGTGTTTATGCATGCCTGCCTGTGTGTGTGTGTGTATACTCACAACACTAATCATAGTCTCTATGTCCTCCTTCTTAGTGAACAGTGTGAGTCTGGTCCTCGGCTGTTGTTCTGGAATCTTCCTCAGCGTCACCACGTACTGGTCTAATGAGTTGTTGTACTCGAGAGGTTGACGCCATTGGAGATATAAAATACCTGACACATATATAAATAATATCTTGTAGTATGTATTTATTATTTAATATATATTTGTATTTCTTAATAATCCCTACGAAAAATAAGCAAGCTATATGAATGAAATTCTGTATATTCATTAATAGATTTCAAAAAAAGAATATCTAAAATCTTAATACATTTATGTTTTTTCTATTATGCTATTTTCTGTAACGTCTTGTTTTAGTGCAATAAAGGATACATATGTATATACATTTCAATCATTCTAACGGTCAATTGATATAAAAATTCATATAAAATCTAACCATATATATTGAAACTAATTATCTTTTTAGTAATAATAATAATACCATTCTGTTGGTCGCATGTCAGATTGAGTATAACCGGTGCCGATGGAGGTTTAACGTCTGTTAGTACGTAGAGAGACTCTGACTGTGGTCCCAGGCGAGCGAGGAGATCGGAAGACATCACACCCGCTAGTGGTATGTTATAAAAGGCACGCACCCATATCTTATACGGTGTGAATGGTTCTGAAATATATAACATATAATGTATTATATAAATAAATATATATAGTGCGTAAAGGGAGGGTAGTTTAATATTTTTATACTCTAGTTAGGTATTATTTTGATACAAAACTTTTCTATAATCAGAAATTGTACAAAAAAGACGCGGTTAGAATTTCACGGACCAGTATAATGTGCATGTATCGTATTGCATCTGTATTAATGTAGATTTTGAATAAGAAACGGATAAAGTATAGTATGACGTGTAACGTATGGTAAGCTTAATGTTCTCTTTAGTAAGACTTAAGGAATACAGGTAATGAAATTTTCATGAATACATCGTTACTTTATTACGTTGGAACTTTAGGTATTTCGTTTGAAGTTGCATTCCGTGTTTAGTGCAATACTGATGTTGGTCTACGAATTATTCTGAAACCGGTAGAATGTTGATGCTGAGTAGAGAGCATTGTTGTGATTTCTAATGGTTAATGTTGAATTACATACACATATAGTACAAACATTATTTGTTAATATCATCTTGATGTATTGAAGATCAACAAAGCTTTTCCTCTCTAGAACTAGTAAGTATTTTCATCGTCAAATCACTGATATTTTCGAGATTATCCATGTATAGAAATAATTGTACTATCAGTGTTCCGTATAATAAGTTAGAAAATATTATGAATACTCACTTAAATTCCTCAATCTGAATCCCACTACCTTAGTTTGTACCCCGGACGTGTTGAGTAAGGTCAAGTTTTTGGTGGCGTTGTAATTATCTTGTATTCCCAGATCGCTTCTGAACACGTTTCTCTGTTTGATTTCCTCTGAACTCTGTACTGTTGCTATGATCGAATCAGTGGACGCCTTCTTAATCGTTACACCTTCTTCGTAGTATAGAACGAATGCTATTTGCGTTATATCTTTTCGGGAGGGCAACGCCATAGATTTCTTCACAATCTCTATCGGCAGTTCAAAAGCCTGGTGAGTCTCCACCCCATCCAGACCTTTCTCCATCGTAATCTTCGTATCAGTGGAATTCTCCTGTCTTCTTTTCCTATGCCTGTGGGACCTAACGTCTCTTTTGACTCTATAGTTATCATTATCTAAAAAATCCTCGCTGTACTTCTGTTTGTCGCTCTTGTAGAAGTTGTAGGTATAGTCGGTGTCCTTTGACGCTTCCATTTTGTAGTCCTTACTATCATCGATTATAGCTTCATCTGCTTGAGTGTCTTTAGCAAGGACTGTTAGATCAGGTTCTGGTTTAAGAGTCTGTCTGTCGATTTCTATGTCATCAGTGTTCTGTCTTTGGACAGTGTAAGTGGCTGGCGGGGCCCACAATAAATGTATCTCGTCTGATGTAACTTTGTTCGCTGTCAGGTTTTGTGGGGAGGACGGAACTGCGAACAAATAAAATAAAAAAAATTTTTTAAGGTGTTTAAATAATAGAATTGAAATATTAACCAACGTATGCAGAAAAAAAAACTTTATAATGATATTATTTATCAAAACTAAAATTATTTATATAATTTCTTTTTTTGTTATCTTTGATATTTTCAAGCGGTCGTATTATTGCAAAACCTTATACCAAGAATTCTGTATCTTTTATATATAGGACAAATTTTAGGCAGAGTATATCGATTTAAAAAGTTTAGGGTTCAATTCAATATTACCCAATATCGTATAATACATCAGTCATTTATACATACGCATATAATATATTGTTTTTCCTTAACCCTTTCACTGGGGCTATAATTTTTTATCAAAGAGGACGAAATATCATTTAACATTTTCCTCAATTCTAACTGTGAAAGAACTTTTACGCTATCCAATTTCTTTTTAACTTAAAACAAAGATAAGATACAGATATCGTTTTCAACCGGTTTTTTTTATTTCTATGCTTAATAGTTGTTTACTATAGGTAATAAACTTTTTTTAAAGAAAATAATTTATAACGTACAAAAAGCCTTACTTTTGAGTGCGAACAAAAATTACATTATTCGTTAAACAAATATGAATAAAATGTATTTATTTATGAATGCGCATAATTATAAAGATTTTTTAATAAATGATTTTATGTATTAAATTATAGTTTACGAAGAGACTGAACTTATAATTATAATTTTAGTAGTATCTCCAAAATGTTTGGGAAAATATTTTCTTATTATCTGATCCAGATTTATTTACGAAAAAATTGTTTAATATTTATATACTATCACTAAACAAAAAAATTTCGTGTAAATTAGTAAAGTAAGTTAAATGATTGTCTTTTAATGTATATATATTATGTTGTTTACTTGTTAAAACTTAAAATTATGTAAATAAAACAAAATATCACCCTGTATATATAGCCACCCTCTTCGCAATAATTGTGGTTGAACCCCGCGTCTGTGATAAGGGTTTTACTTCCCCGTGACATCTTATAGTGACAATGACTTTGTTTCCAGTCAAAATAATAGTAACATGAAAAAGTATTCTCAATTGGACGCATTATACCGAAACTATATAAAAATTTTGAATAAATTTAAATAACAGAAATCTTTTAATAAAAATTATATGCTAGGTGCTAATTATGACCTAGGTTCATACATGTTAAAGTATATGACCTATGCTGACCTTACCTCAATTAACGATATAGGTTACAAGGCTCGCTAAACTTGACCTAGCCTAATATCGACACCACAATGCTAACAAGACAGCATATTAAGAGATCATCTCTTAGTATACAACAAAAATAACATTTATATACAAAGCGACCTTAATGCATGCCAAATGAAATCTTGACCTGGCTTTAATATTATCTGCTGTTTCGCTTCTCATTCCACGTTTATTCGGATTTGAAAATGGAAATATAAAAACTTTATGGTTGTGAATTTTTATTTTATGGATGAATTTTATTAAACCATATACAAAATAGTTGAAGAAATTTAAAAATGTATATATATTTTCATAAATAAATAAATTTTCATAATATGTAGTACCTAAATATTAGTATGCCTTATATACAACTAGATTTTTTTAAAGTATTTATATTAATGTTCCGATATTTGTTTAAAGTTTTTGTATTTGTAGCACTTAGATCACATTTTTTGCTATGAAAAAATAACTTTGTAATAATGCTATGCAGTCGAGTAATACGCTGTTCGCTTTATAAATATTTTTGTTAGAGTAGAACGTTTTTCAAATACTATAGAGATTTCATAAACAAATAAATGTATGAATTATGACGTCATCGTAATATCACAACACATTACCTTTTTAAATGAAAGTCGGACAACGTGACAATCGATTTGCAGTACTTTCCTCAATAGAATGTTAATACGAGTATTTGCAGCACCATGTAAATATCAAGACGATTTAGTTTTTAGGGTTCCGTACCTTAAGGTTCAAACAGGAATTTACTACTAAGGCTGCACTGTCCGTCTCTCAATAGACTGTTACTAAAACCGAATAATAAAAGTATTAAAATCTTCACATCTAATGTATATCTATTGCTAGCACAAAATGATAAAAAAACAAAGTACCTAGATATTTAAGATCGGTCCCATTCAACAATCGTAACTTGTTTGCTAATTTTTATAAATACCGAATAGTACTGAACCCATCGTGCAAGTCCGACTCGCACTTAATTTTTTTTAATATCTTGTATTTAAAATCCGAATGCTATAAGAAGTAAAAGGCAAAATAGTATTGACCTCTTGAAGTAACAGACGAATTTCAATAGTTCCAATTTAAGCGTGAAATCGTTGAGAAACTCCATTAAACCAAACCAATGTACCAGGAAATAAAAAAAATCACACGAAACCTATCAGGTACTAGAAAACTTATACTATTTTGTTCCCGAAACTTCGTCATCACGCCATAGCTATATGTAACTCTTACAATATCATTAAAAATTATTTTATGTACATTATACTTATCTAAATCCATCTATGAGTTTTTGGTTCAAAGACTAATAAACATATTTTTTTTACATATACATACATACGTACATCCACGCAAACTCTCGTCTCTTAGAGCTCAATACTGTTTTATCAAACAAAGATTCTTTACTAAAAAAGAATATTTCTGTACTATAAAAAATAATAATATTTATTTTTAATCATGCTACGTATTGTCTATTGTACTAATTACTAACTAGCGTTTGTCAAGACATGTCTAGAACATCTAATAATAGATACGACATAGCCGGATGCTGGGTCTATCTTCAAATTGTTCGGACAACGATTTGATAGCATATTGATTCATATATAACATTGCATTAAATCATTCTTTATCTAAATCATTTCCGTTTCCGTTAAAAAAATAATATGGCAGCAGATGACATTAATACATATTAAAAAAAATATACTAAGCTAAACAAAAAGATGAGAACCTAATAATTTTTGTCAATTTTTAAAGATAAACAATAATTTGTTTTGAATAATAATACTGAAAGCTACAGTGTTAAGGGACATAGACTAACTTTTTAGCCAATTGTAACGACAAAATTATTATGTTTAATTTATTAATATCATCAATTATGTATCTGAGACAAACTGATAGAATAATCATGAACGTATTTATGTATAGTAAAGCTTCCCAATGACAATAGTTTCTAATGGAGCAAACCGGGGAATAAAGATTATTTTAAGCGACAATTACAATTATACAAATTTAAAATTTTTAATATGATAATAATAATTTTATTATTATTACATATTGAATTAGTGTATTAATGTTTAAAACCAATTCTATTACTGACGTGACGTAAACTTAAAACCTAAAAAAGTATTCATTCGCTTTAGAAATAGAATTTGTCATTTTAGAATATTTTTTGGTTTGTGTAAGAAAGCGGAACGAACGTCTTATTTATTTCATTTCACATAATTTGATCAGAACTATTGTTATAAAAATTTTACTCTCAGTCTGAAATTTAAATAATATGGATTTCAAATATATGATACCATTACATTTTTTGTATACAAATAAAATGTCTAAACACAGAATATACAGTGCAATAAGCGTATCTGTTGAAACCCTCCTATAAAAAAGCGTTACTAACAAGTAAAAAACAAGAAAAAAAAAATCTCGAGCTACGAAATTGTTAACAAGATGCGAAGTATGGGAAGTGCATGCGGGCCACTAATGGCAATTGAGAGAAACGTAATGGCCACGACTTTCGCACACGCCCCACAAAAAAAAAAATACGCAACACCATAGAAAGCTAATATCACTTTTAATTGTCATAAAAAATAATTAGACTCTTTAGCATCATATAAATTTGATATAACAATAGCTTTCATACCACTTAGAGAAAAATATAAAAATAAAATTGTTACTAAAATTTCGGTAGTACCATTATTTTTATAACCTGTGATGGTTGTATATATCGCGATCGAAAATAGATCTTAATATTAAGACGGTATAGTTTGTATTGGAATGTATGTGTAGCCGACGGTATACCACGACGTGAGTCATGGGCTAATGGAAATGACCTTCCTCTCACGTAACCATACCCTCATCGTCTTGACAGTCCACGTGATTTACACTGTTTATACAAATTGTATCTTAAACTTCTCTTAAGTCATCGAAATAACATATCAAAGACGTAGTATAATTTTAAATGTATAATATTGTATGCCTAATATTACTTGTGTTAGAACTAAACACTGGGAATGGATAAGCTATAAATGTAAGTGAAAAACTTATGCAACTGAAGATAAAAAATATTCATTTTAAATAATATGAAATGAAGAAAAATAGCATTATTGCGACCATTATTTCTGTTTTATAGATTTACATAATATATCTCAACAATATTAAAGTTATATATGTATAGGATGCAAACATACTGCATACTACAATGCTGTATTGCATCCTATGGGAAAACCTACATATGTCCAGAGGTGGACAAATTAGGACTGATTATTATCATGATGATTGTTTACTGACAAACGGTAAATATTCATTATGTGTAGATATACATAAATGTAGTAAAACTTATATATCAAACACCCTTACTTGTTAGAAGGAACCAAACAATGTTAACATAAATAGTTCAAATTGTTAGACTAAAAAATAAATTTAATGTCTAAAACTCATTATTACTATAAATCTACATCTCTACTAAGTAGTACTCTGTAGAGTATACAATTCAGGCATAAACAAAATCAGCTTATGTCATATTAAAAAAATACAATGGCTAACCAACAATTTGTTATTAATAACATTACTGATTCATATTTCAGAACAATATACAATTACTGGCACCAAACTATATAAATAGCTTTCATAATAAAAAAAAGATACATGCTGTTTATTTTTATCCTTTGATATCTAATGATGTGGAAAACTCAGTGGATATTAATGGAAATGGAAAAAAAATTATATAATCTGTCTAACAATTGATTATAAATTAACAATAAGTTTGTTACATCCAGCTAGCATTACATAATATGATATAATTTAAAAAGAACATGATGTATAAATTTAATTTTTCGTCATAATAAAACATTTGTTCCTCCGTTGTAATAGAGAACAAAGGAAATATCTCAAATGCATCCTTTTGTTGTCTTATGGCCTACTTTACAAAGAAATAGCATGGTTTGATATAGGACAGGAAATAGTACAAATATTCTTTTCCAGCCCCGGCAGTGACTAAAAAGTGTTTTTAATAACACATATACAAAATATTCTATACATACAGATATCATAAACTGAAGCAATGAAAAAGACTTACTAATTAAATAGCTTCAGTATAATATATATATAATTCAGAAGCTTTAATGTTGTCTTTTCATACAGATATGTTTATAAAATAGTTATTTATATATTATTTATTTATTTGGTATGGAAAAAACTAATGAAAACAGGATTAAAACCTACCAAGTATAAACAGTAAAAAATTATTACTTAACAGAAAAATAAATAAATACAAATATAATGTATACAGTATAAGGTTATTACAGTCCTGATTAAGTAATGAAAATATTTGATATATGAAAGAGATACTAGGTTAAATTAAGTGAATTTATATTAATACTATTTAAAAGTAAAGAAAATAAATTATTGTATGGTTAATAATAAAAAATATAAAAGAATTATATCTAAATTATCATATAACATATGGGTTCTAAATTTTACATCACTGTCTTGCTATCTATAGGTATATTTCGACCTTTAAATTTTTCTCTCTCATATACCACATGAATGTGAAAAATTATTATTTTTGTGGTATTTTCTGGGCAAAACTTCTTTTTTTTTTTTGGTAAGTCTAGTCATGTCTAATTATATAAACACTTGATGTCAATCTCAGTGAATAAAAGTATACACAGTAAATGCGATAAAAAATAGCCAATACTTTGGTAGATGGCTTATTTTCTTAGTAATTTAGGTGCGATTTTATTTCAAGTTTTTTATGTAAAATTTCAATATCTTATAAGACTTAATTATGCCTATGATATGGTGTGATTTATTTGTTTGTGCACCTTTTAGACCTGATTAATGAACGGAAGTAATTGTTGATTAAAACGTATTTGAAATCGCGCAAATTTTCTACTATCTGTAATAAATCTTAACTGGATAGATGACAGATCATATTTATAGGCGTGAACACTTACACAAAAAACTAAGTTATAAGTTAAAACTAATATGAACAGAGAAACCTTTACTTGTATAAACTCACCATAAATTTCCAGTATTTCGTTGTTAGTCCCAGCATTATCACAATGAACGCACAAAATAAATACAATAAAAATGGCTCCTAACGTGTAGTGAATATACATCTTTATAATACAATGTACACGAAGTTTCCGTGTAAATACAGTTCAAACAATATTAAAACACCACATTTTCACTTTGAATTTACATAGAGTTTAATAGTATCTTGTATACTAGTCATTTATTTCCTTTAATTTACTTCCATAAAGATGCCATCGAACTGAGACCCCGCCGTCTGTCATACGTCTTGTCAATAAACAATAAATGTTGCCATACAAAAAAGTATTCCATAATCTTGAATTTATAGAACCTTTACCAACAAATTTGATGATAAACTCGATTTGTATTTTATGTTTTCGATTAGATTATTGAACAAATTATGGAGGTTTGTTTAAAACCATAATTGAATATTTTTATAAGAATAAAAAAATATAAACTTAATTTATTTATGAATAATATGTAAGATTATTATTTTTGCATTTAGGTAATTGCAAATTTAAGTAACCAATAAATCATACAGGTAAAAGCATAAATCACTTCGGCGCACAAGTTGTCTTTTAAATATTTATATGCTTTTGAAAATGTACCATTGTAAATAACGAAGACTTTTAAAATTATTATCCCTTAAAAAATATTAAATTGCCATATAATGTTTGAACAATATTTAGTATTAAAAATAGTTTATATCAGCTTATCATTACCAAAACATATCGATAATTCTATAAATTTGTATAATATATTATGACTGTAATATATTTTTTTCTTCATTATCGTGTACATCATTTTAAGATGTATAACAAATTAATGAAATTACTTTATAATTGTATAAATTAAAGTCTACCTTATTTTATTTGTACATAAATAATTTGTTGGTTTGGCATTACATTATAAACTTTTTGTTAATAACCTGTACAAATTGCCGTAGGCTTAGTTAGTCAGTATACTAGGAGTAGCCACTAGTAAGTAGTAACATATTGCTAGCAACACTGTTTAGTAGGATTGTTTGTTCGGCTTTGGGTGTCAGCCGCTTGTAATTTTTATTGTGATAATTATAGAAATAATCAGTGATATTGTTGTGCGAGTGAACTGAAGATGGTGTGAATATTGTGCGATGATTTTGTTATTTCGGGCTACTGTGCATTGTATGTAAAAAGCTGCATCTTCCGCCATGACAATGTTGCTCTTGGTCAGGAAGTACCCCGTAACACTTGTGCTTTATTTTGGGTGTATCGCATCGTGTTATCCGGTTTTTGGTAAGTTGTAAATAGTCTATATCAATGAATTAAATAAAAATAAACCATAGCATTTTTTTCATTGCGTCTAGTCTGTCATTGCAGTGCGTACAATTTAGGAATGTATATGTTTTTTCACAAACATAGTCCGGAGGTCGAGGCTACGTATAAGATGTAAAAAAGAAAACAGCAGATGTATATTGTAAATAGCAATAATAACTCGATTCTATGAATAAAGTTTTTTCTTCCATTTGTACAGAAGAGGAAAATAACTAATTTCGTTACACTCGATATTAAAATGCTCTAAGTTCCTTCATTTATTTATCTGTTATTCGTTAAACGAATATACAAAGAAAATAAATGATGCATCGAAATTATATTTTTAAACCTATCATGTAAACACAAATACAAATGATGAAGTCATCCATTATATAGCTAAGAAGAAAAAGAAATGTGTCATCATTATTATATTATTATATCCTTAAATTAATATTCTTCTTATAATTTCTATATCACCAATATATATCATATATTTTTCAAATCAATATTTATACTAATCATTACCATGTTGCCTTACAAACTTTCTTATCTTGATACAAATGCAGTAGTATTAATTGATATTTGTCAAATATTTCTTGTTTCAATTGATAATAAGAAAAACTATACATCATGAGTTTAAATAAATTTATAAGAACTTAATATGGATACAAAAATAATAATCTTTAAATATATACCATTCTTACTTCAGAAGTATTCCTATATGGTTTTCAGTTCTGTTTATATATCTAACAATATTGCTGTTAAAAATTATGAAAACCTTGACTTCAATTGAAAGTAATTAGTTATAATTTCATTTTTATCACTGAAATTATATAGTACTACTGCATTTTAAAGCCTTTAGTATTACAAAGGTTTCTAGTAAATATATTCTTAACTAGCTTTCCGCCCGCAGCTCAGTGGTTTAGTGGTTAAAATCAGTTCAGTGGTTTAGGCGTGAAAGCGTAGCAGACAGACAGACAGACAGACAGACAGACAGACAGAGTTACTTTCGCATTTATAATATTAGTAGGGATTGCTATTTAATTAATAATTGTTAATTTAAAATAAAAAGTATAACTATCATGTTAAAAGTATTTATTATATAAAATAATTGTTAAAAAACAGTTTAAATATATATTTATTTTTGATTTAAAAAAAAGTTTACCTTAATAGTTTAAAAAATAATAATTGTACAAATACATCAATATAAAAACTCAATAAAATTCATGGATTTTTATTACTTATCTGGATGCATTATTGTTTAATGATTACTATGATAATTGTGAAAAGTTGTAAATAGAAATTTATGTAAAATTTTGTATAAAACTATATTTTAGAATAATGAACATAAAATTATATTTGATACTATTTCACTTCACACATGTATAAAGTAATATAAGAATGACAAATTAATATTATAGAATGCTAGCTTTCCGCCCGTAGCTTCGCCCGCATGGAGTTTTGGTTATATCGCGTTTCCAAGAGAACCTTTCAAAAGTCTGGGGTAAAAACTATCCTATGTTCTTTCTCAAGGTCAACTCCATCTCTGTACCAAATTTCATTAAAATCAGTTCAATGGTTTAGGCATGAAAGCATAACAGACAGAGTTACTTTCACATTTATAACATTAGTAGGGATTAGTTAATTGTCTTAATATACTTTCATGAAAGCCTTGATCCATTATATTTCTTTGTAGGCCAAGATGCATCAGAAATATTGGACTTACAATTGGCTAAAGGGGATATTGGTGGTGAAACGAATATCAGTTGCAGTGTGGCACCATCGGAAGTGAATGTTGAATGGCTCTACAATAATAAACCATTCAAGATTGGTGAAAGGTGAGTATTATGACTAATAAACATTTAATAGATATAAAATGTGTCTTAATGTTATAAACTCAATATATAAGTCTGTATTTTTATGTTTAATATGTGTAAAAATCAAATTGTAGATACTATTTCTCTAATATCGGAAGTATATAATAGAAAATTCAATATATATATGTAAATGATACTAGTGTTGAAATAATATATGTTATACAAGTATATAATGTTTATAATCTTTAACATATTTTTTTACATAGATAGATAGCTTTTACAATAATTACAAAAGGGAATAAATGAATATACAAAATAGAAATAAATGTTTGTTTATATCATTTTATATTTTCAAAGTATTTATGTTTATATATAACAAATTCTGTTTATTAATAAAAAATTTATAACATTTATGATGTCAACACTAATAAATACATGTGTCTTGAGGTCAACAAATTTAAACACATCCAAATTTGAAGGGAAGCCATATTAACAGATTTAATATACTATATTTAATAATTATACAGGGTGACTGGTGAATTACTATCAATATTTAAGGAGCATACTCGGTACATGATTCTCATTCGAATTATGTAAAAAAAATAGGTACTTAATTTTTGACAAAATTTCCGTATAAATAAATAAAGTGTTGACACGTTCCAAGTGTTGCAAGTGTGGACGCGTGCGGCGGCGTGCTGATACAACACTACGCCGCCGCCGCGTCTGTGTGAGTGTGTGTGTATACCTAATCTGTAGGGTGTTCATACGATGCGTAATTAATTACATAACTTTTGGTTAACTTTACTTAGAAGTTTATTAATATTTATGTTATATTAATTTTTATTTTGTCATATATGATCGTCAAATATCACGTCCTCAAATATCGATAGTAATTCACCAGTCACCCTGTATATATGGGGTAACTAAAAAGTAAATATTTTCAATTTCTTACTTAAATCTTGTTTTCAAATAGTTGAAAATTTTGTTTTGTGATTGGCTGTATAAAATGAAACGGTGGTTTAGTTTTAGTGACACAAGAAGTGATAGTTTTGTATCTAACTGTCTCTGGTATTTCAATTTAATGCTTATTGAATAACACATTTATGAAATAGACTCGGAATTAGAAATTATAACTGATGTTAATTAAATATTTGATTTGTTGCAAAATTATTTAGTCGATTGTTTAATTTTGTTAAAACCAAATATTTTAGATAAAAGTCAAGAACATCTTTACTTAAGTTTTATTACTTCTTTATACATATATATATTGTTTACTTGGTCACTTAAAAATATGTTACTTTTTCAAAGTATTTTCCTATTGATTTTTAAAGATCTCAGGCAGTAATTTGGTCTAAACTTAGTAGTTTATATGAAAATAAATATCAGCATTCAGATACTATAATGTAGAATTAAAAAGTTGAATATATTTTCCCAATGAAGTTTTCTATTATTATTTTTATAAGAAGTATGTCGGCCAGTTGGTCATGTCGTCGGTGTATATATTTTTTTGTTTTGTTAATGCCGCGGTTTCATTCGTATCGTTTTTTTAAGCCATTCACCTAACCTAACTATAAAATAATTCTTCTTGCAATGCCAATACGTTATATGTTAAAGATTTTGTCTTAAAGAATATATGTATGTATATAATATATTGTCGAGACCTGAGTGTCTACAATTTTGTATTACAACTATGGTAGAGTCAGATTATGAAATCTGATAGATCAGTCATATATGTAGATCATTCCTATACAAACTAAAAATTCAGTTTGTTCTTTATTATAATTGATGAGATATAATATTTTCGCGAGTACTCATTTAAATGAAACTAATATTTTCTGATGTACTACATACGCGATTTTTTTTAAAATTATAAACATCACATCTCGTCTGCCCCTGATTACAGTTTCTGTTAAAGTATGTAGTCGAAACGTCGGGAGTATGTAGTTTATAGTCAGAAATAAAAAATCGCGTTGTAAACAAGAAAATATTAGTTAAATGTTATTATAATTTAAATACTTCCATACTTTACCTTACATTTACATATACATTAATTATTTCTTGGAACGTTTTTTTAAAAATAATAATCAAAACACTTCCATTTCATTTCATCCTCGAACACGATTATAATCAAAGTAAACAAGACGAAGAATATTAATGTAAACAGAACGAACGAATGTAATCCTAAAAATAGATTTATTTATATTACAATAAAAACCATAAAGATATTCTGATAGACGTTATCTGTTTACAAACATTTATTATAAAGAGTTCGCATTGTGTACTTATCGGTGTAAAATTTATTAAAAACATTGCAATTTACAATATGTGAATGTAAGTCATTGTGAAATAAAATGTTGCAATCTATCAATGTTTATTTATATATGTTAACTAGCTTTCCGCCCGCAGCTTCGCCGCGTGGAGTTCGGTTATATCGCGTTTCCAAGAGAACCTTTCAAAAGTCTGGGATAAAAACTATCCTATGTTCTTTCTCAAGGTCAACTCTATCTCTGTACCGAATTTCATTAAAATCAGTTCAGTGGTTTAGGCGTGAAAGCGTAGCAGACAGACAGACAGACAGACAGACAGACAGACAGAGTTACTTTCGCATTTATAATATTAGTAGGGATGTATTTTATTTATGATAGTATATACAAGATGTATTTACTGGAATAAATGGTTAATTCAAACTATCAATAAAAACTAATATAGAATTCGATATGTATATGTATGTACAATATGTTATAAAATTATTTCGGAACAGACAAATATACATTTCTTTTATGCTTATTACTGACTTATTACCATACCAAAACGTAGTACGGCATTCTTCCTCATACAGATGTTTAATACATATATAGATAAGTATTATCACAAGTCAAGATAAAATTTGAATGTATTTATTTTTTGCAAGCAATCAGTTAATCCAAATAAAGAAATAGATTTGTAAGCGGTTTTCGCGATCTTTACAAAGTCAAATATATACAGTGTAAACTCTATATAACGACACTGAAGGGACCGTGCATTTTAGTGCGTTATAGAGAGTTGCCGTTAAATAGAGGGAAGAAAAATCAGAATTAGAAAAAGACAAAGTTTGTTTCAGACTACTGTTAGTACTTATGTACATAAAAAAGAATGTTATAAAGTCTGTTGTTTTTGTTTGACGTGTTTTGCTGCACCAGTAATGTTGTTGTATTTTTTACGTATTTTATTCATATCTTGCGATATTGAGGCATATTGGTGAAGAACGAATTTCTTAGAAAGTTTGGTATGCATGATTACGACAGTTTAGTTTATTGCGGGCTAGGATAACAAAGCGACAAAAAAACGTACACAGCTGCGCATTTTTTACTAATTTTAGCAACTTAAAGGGTACTTTTTATTACTTAATTTTGTCGTTATTGAGAGTGGCTGTGACGCTATATAGAGTGTATCATTGTATGGTAGACAAGCTAAACCAACCAAAGTCAAATGATTTCGACGCTTTAGAGAGTTGGTCGTTAAATCGAGTGTCGTTATATGGAGTTTACACTGTACATAGAATTAAACGGTTGTTTAAAAACAAACAGCCGTTTACGAAAATTTATATGAATCTCAATTAGAGAAATAGCTGTTTTAATGAAATCTATTGATTAATTTTTCAGTTAATTCGTCCCTCAGCGAATGCCGAGACGTTAGTCGGGAATTTATTCCCGTAGGTTTTTCCCTTAACACTTTAATAATTAAATCAAAATTATAGACGATAAATCGATAGTATTATTTAAAGGATTTGTTGACTTCTGCCATATATGCAAAGAGTTCAATTTGTATTTGCTTTATTAAACGTAGCTTGTACAACGTGATACCGTTATTACGTGAGGGGACCCTCTCTAGGGTTATCGTACGTAATTAGGCACCAGAAACTTTGATGTAATTTTTCTACGTTCTGTACTAAATAATATATATTGTAAATACTGAAAACATTATGCTCAATAAAATATTCCATCTAGATGCCATTTATAGTGTTGAATTCATTAAGTTTGTATATCAATTTAAATTCCTGCTAGTCTGTATATGTTTACTTGTTTTGTAATTAAAATTCTTTAAAAAGAGTTGAAAATACCCTTTTTTAAATTGCGATATTAACACCGGGGGTATCATATTTGTTGGGTTGTTCTGAAGTGTTGAGGGGAGTTCAAAAGATTTGAAGCTGCAAATCGTGTATGCATCCCTCGTCGCCACTCATGTAATGCCGTTGGATTTCTTTTTTGCCTTTCGATTGTATTCCGACATCCCCCTACAGCCATTGTTTCTGAACACCTTTACCAAAATATAAGAGCTATTTAGAGCTTATGTATCTAGACGCCAGACGTCAGTATGTGATGTTTAAGAATAGGAATATCACGGAGATTATATTATATAATATTAAATGGTTTAAATGTGACATGAACTTAACGAAAAACTCGCACTATATTATATTTATTTTTATATATCTTTTATGTAGCTGTAAATTTTGTATCAAAAAAATATAGTAGTTAATCAAAGATTTTAAATATTAATTAATTAGCTACTATATATTTAATTATATTATAGGATAAAACAGCGAGACGAGGAAAGACTTCTTCAGAAGAAAGATCTTGATGGTAATCCGAGAAAATATAAAATTTACAATCTCACATTGAGCAACACGACGGCGAACGACGATGGTAATTATACGTGTGTGGCGGTGTTAGGGGAACAGAGGGCGGAGAAAACTATCGTCTTGGACCTAAGCTTTCCGGGAAGATTGATAAATAAGACGACTGGACCTATAAAACAAAATGTTACAGACCAGCAGAACGTTACTATGTTCTGTGCATTCGAAAGTGAGTAAATTTTTATTAAGACACTAGAAGACCCGGTGAACTTCGTATCGCCCTATAATCACGAAATATCTGTTATGTTTTTTTATTTATATTTTTGGAATTTACCTATTAAAGCCATAAATCTCCGTGTTTTGAAGTGCGACAGAATGATTGACATATAAGTTAGTTGTCAAATCTAATGTCAAAAAAAAAAACGTTTGTATAAACAACTACTAATAAATTAAAAATTAATTAAAAAAAACATTGTTCAGCTGACAAAATTGTGAATCTAAACCATTCCCAGATCCCCTTGAACACACAAAAAATTTCATCAAAATCGGTCCAGTCGTTTGAGAGAAGTTCAGTGACATACACACTCACAGAAGAATTATATATATAAAGATTAAATATATAAAAAATGAAAAATACATCGATGCTAACAATATTCAACATACAGAAAAACGTTTCCACCTATTTGAGTAAAATTATTAATAATGCACTTATAAATTTACAGTTTATCGTCCAAACGAAGTAAGGTGGTGGAAAAGGGGCAAAGACGACGAAATTATAGAGCTTGGAACGAAAGCCGCTAAAGTGATCGATCTTAAACGGATGCAGAGTCAATATGATCTCCACATACGTAGCCCGGAAGACAATGGGACTTACATATGCGAGATATGGGATGCAGTGACGTCATCAAATCTTACAGGAAGTATTGACGTCATAGTATACGCAGCACCACAAGTAGTCATAGACACGGTTATACCGATCAGTGCCTCACAACTATTCCTCAATTGGACCATCCGTTCGTACAATTCACCAATTAAAAGCTACAATCTGATGTATAGAAAACTACCCTCAACCGACTTTAGTCTATACACCACCGAGAAAATAAGAGTTAATAATATATCATTCGTGATGGAGGGTTTGGAGAAATCTACTAAATATCAGCTGAAATTGGAAGTGACTACAAGCTATGGATCCAGCAAGCCCCATATATACGAGTCAATAGTACGGACATTGGATAAAGATCCAATATTTGTTCCACATATATCTATCAATGGATTCTCAGCTACTTCAGTGACTATCGGCTGGGCGCCGCCTCCAGAAGATATAGCTGAGTTGATACACTACTATTTATTAGAAGCGAGGAAGATGGATGAGGTCGCACCAAGGAGAGCCTATCACTCCAGGGACAGCAGAAATCTGCCATACATGTTTGATAACTTGGAACCTCACAGCACTTACGTATTTCGGGTAAGTCTAAATTTTCTCACATAAAGAAATTGATAGGTATTTCATTAAAGTGCTGTATAAAATCATATTGAACTGCTTACTTCCTTAACTTTTTGTAGTAATAAAACGTTGTACCATTGTCAATAATGTTACAAAACTAAAAAAAGGTATTCGTCAAAAAATCATTTTTCCTCTACCTAGTATTGAAACCTAACGCAATATAAGCTTAATGATATGTACATCACTTATATATATGTATATAGCCATATAGCCATATAGGTGCGTATATACATATTTGCATTATTAAGACAAGAATTCATCATTCATATTCTTTCCATCTACAAATAAGTGAAATGATATTCAAGAACTATCCAGATAATATTATCATAATCATTATTTATACCCAGGTTTGTGCTTGCTCGGATTTCACGAAGAAATGCGGTAATTGGTCTCTAGAGATGCAAGCAGCGACGTTGGACGGTATACCGGGGCGGCCGAGCAACGTCACGGTCACTTGTAGTACTAGCTGGATGAACCTAACGTGGCAGCCCCCCGTCAAACCTAATGCTGAGATAAAAGGATATACTGTATGTATAATTTATTTCTTCTTAGAATGATCAAGGCATCAATTATAGATAATATACCTAATAACGCCAATGAATGTCAAGCCAATAGTAGTAGTAAGCAATTTTGTCAAATTTTAACGATTGCACCAAATAGTACTAATGAGATAAATTTCTACATTTGATTTAATATATGTACTTATATAGGAACTATGTTAATAAGAATCTAGTATTGCTCTGTGATAAAAGGAAATGATTTGTCTGAAAAGATAAGAAATTACATACATATGTCTTCTTAGAATGCCGTAATATTGTGTATTAATATTTCAGATGGAACTAACAGGCAACGCGACCTATAGAGACAGGTACGGCACGTACAAAGAGGAGATGTGGGGACCGCTCACGAAGTTTAAAACAAACGACTCTAGAAGTGTCAGGTAAATATTATGCTATATATTAAAATCCATAAACAATAGAAATTTGAACCTTCCAAGGTAATCCCACAGTTGTCTATGAACCTTGGTTCCTTTATGTAATTTGTAGTATGCTTTATTTTAATTAATATTTAGGATATAGCTTTCCAAGTATGTAACATATAGCTTTCAATCAATACTTTTAATTGAATTTGATCAAGTTTATTATCATGTAATCATATGATGAAAATTAGAAAATTTTTAGCAACTCTCATTAACAAAATATCAAACATCAAACAAAAAATTTTGACTTCATAAATAAATATAATTCAATTAGCTTTTCGCCCGCAGCTCCGCCCGCGTGGAGTTCGGTTATATCTCGTTTCCAAGAGAACCTTTCAAAAGTCTGGGATAAAAACTATCCTATGTTCTTTCTCAAGGTCAACTCCATCTCTGTACCAAATTTCATTAAAATCAGTTCAGTGTTTTAGGCATGAAAGTGTAACAGACAGACAAACGGGTTATTTTCTCATTTATAATATTAGTAGGGATAGAAGGGTAATTATTTTTATTCATCCGCAGATTTGAAGACTTGAAACCAAATACTAATTACACTGTACGGCTGAGTGCAATGACTCGCACCCGGCGACGTGGGGACGAGGAGGTCCGTCACTGCGCTACAGCACCCGCTCCCCCCGACTACCCGCCGCGACTGAGGTGGAGAAAGGTATTTACTCCCTTTATATACGCTTTTAGTTATTAAAGAGTGTTCTAAATTTAAAATGTCAACACATTAGTTCATCGCTCAGATTTTTTTCTAGTCCAATTTTAAAATGAGTTCTTCCAATCAGATGAAAAAGTTAGCTATTACTAATGATGCATGATTTTAATTCGAAATATAAACTTTTTAAATATTTTCATAAATCAGATATTTATTATCTTTGTACGTTTACAGGAGCTGGATAATAATAAATACGTGTTCACAATGCACTTACAAAGAATAGATGAGCGAAACGGACCTATATGCTGTTATAGGTAAAAATGTAATTTTATGAAATATAAAAAAAGTAATATGTAATATTCACATATAAATGTTAACTTTAAAATGATTTTCCATTTTTTTGGTTTTCTTTTTTTTTGTGTTATGGTAAAAACATATTTTTTTAACACATTTGTTTTTTTTTCTGTTTTAGGGTGTACATGGTGAGATTGTTGCCACACTCAGATTGGAATAATCTTCCCCCTCCGCGTGATATTAGTATAGTTGACTATGAAGAGGCTCACGGGGTACAACCTGTACTTGGGGCTTATATTACTGATGTATTCTCTAAGTACGTAAAAATATCTACACTTATCTAATTCTTCTTCTACCTGGCAATTTCCCAGCTTTAGCCAGGGTCTGCCGTAGATGTTGTGAATAGTTTTTGGCTAATTGTTTTTACAACCGGCCGCCTGCCTGACATCCACCCTCTTTAGGATTTACTTACCTAATTGACTATAATAAATTATGAACACAATTTTTTTTTATTAATCATATACAAACAGTGTAATCATTCCAAATTTAAAATTTCAGCGAGAAATTCCCGCCCGAAGCGAATCTAGTGATGGGCGATGGTAAATCGTACTTCGATAAAGACGATCCCGGCCTCAATAGGGATTCCTGTAAGCGATGTTTGAGGAAACCGAGACGTGTGTACGACTTGCCACGTCCACCTACCACCACACCGACCACAATACCGACCACAACCTACCAACCTACCACAAGGGACGATCTATTCGAAGAGGACATAGATACTACCGCTGAACCTGAAGAGGAGAGGCGGGAGAGACGGTCATACTTAGATATTGATAGGTTTGTTCTTATATACAAACTAGAAGTTCCGGCGAACTTCGTATCGCCCTATAATCAAGAAATATCTGTTACGTTTTATATTTATATTTTTGGACTTTAACTATTAAAGCCATAAATCTCCGTGTTTTGAAGTACGACAGAATGATTGACATATTAGTTAGTTGTCAAATCTAATGTCAAAAAAAAAGTTTGTATCAACAACTACAAATAAAATATAAATTAAAAATTAATTTAAAAAAACATTGTCCAGCGGACAAAATTGTGAATCTAAATGCTGGGAATGCCCAGATCCCCTTGAACACACACAAAAAATTTCATCAAAATCGGTCCAGTCGTTTGAGAGAAGTTCAGTGACATACACACTCACAGAAGAATTATATATATAAAGATAAAACCGGCGATCATTTTACGGCCTAACTTCTTACTGAATAGTTCAACTTAATACACGATTTTATTATAAATTTCTGAACGTCTATATTAAAATTTTACAATGAGTAAATATGTTATTCTTTACTAAAACTATTGTAGATTTTTTAAACCCATCTTTACCCTAAACCGAATATTCTGGAAATAAGTATGTTGTCGATTCAAAACCTTAATTTAATACGTTCTTAATATAAAGTATATAATATTAAAAGTAATTTGTGATAATTTCCAGGGATTATATGAAAAATCCAATGATGATGGATAAATTGATCGAGGTTGAAGTGAAAGAAGATCTGAATATTAAAGATGGTCTCCTGGACCCGTCTGCTAACTACACCGTGTTCATAGAATTAATACGTGAGTATATTTTTTCAGCTTTTAAAACAACTACTGTACCATTAGTATACCAATTTTTTTCTGACAAAATATTTCTAAATATATTATTCTTCAAATTTATAATTATTGCCTATATAATTTATATGTTAAAATCCTATTCAAGCAAAGTAACAGCGATTTCTGATCGATGCCATAATTACTATAATTAAAAAACGTATAATTCCTGAAACAATTAAATAAAATATCATATTTGGTTTAGTACATAGTAATCCTACTAATATTATAATTGCGAAAGTTTGTGAGTGTATGTTTGTTACTTCTTCACTTTAAAAACGGCTGAACCGATTTTGATAAAATTTTGTATACAGGAAGCTGACGTAGGAATAACACATAGGCTACTTTACATCCCGGAAATCCGCGGGTAACGCCGCGGGGCGCAGCTAGTTATATATGATCTGTTGTGACCTTGTACTCATCTCCTGTTTTTCCACAGCCGGTTCATCTTCAGACGAGCCTCTATACAGCGAGTATCTGAACGTATTGATGGCGGCTGCTACCCCCGTACCAACACAACCGCCGTCGGCCATGGAATTAGCTATATTGGTTAATACATATAAATATTCTATTACCTATATTAATATATCATAAATTACAATATCTGTGAGTGTGATTGTTACTGTCAAGAATGAATTAATATAATAGAATCTTTACAATATAAAGAATGTTTCATAAGAATAGTGTTGTATAGTAGTGTAGTCTTATAAGTGGCGCCACCCGTGACGTACTAATTATAATATGCGTTAATCCTTAGAATTATTTGTATGACTGATTATAATTTATTATAATACTGAACCATTGTCATTTTGTAATGGCAACATTTAAGTATGAACTTTTATTTGAAAACTATAAATACTGGCTTCAGCTATTTTGTTAGACATTCCTGGAAGTAACGCTGAAAAAAAATCAATTCTGAAACTGTACCTCGAACAGTAGTTACGTCATAAAACGTGACCTTATTGTGAATTCCACTGACACAGACGATAAATATCGCTGCCAGTTGGTCTAATTATTTATTATTTTAAGCAAACATTATTAGTATCTCTCTGAATTTAGATTCTTCGTCAAGTCAGACATAGTCGCGAGAAATCGTTATTACTTAATTAACAGTAAATTTCAGAAATTAAAAAAATTGTAATCTCATATTATGTATGACATTACAATTTTTTGAATTGAATTTTTTTTTGCAATGAGATCTATGTATATCACCTTGAAAAAATATCCTATTTAAAATGTTGTTTATATAGTATAGTACTGTTTCCAGGCGTCGTGTGTGGCGGCGGGGGCGGCGGTGTTGTCTCTGGCCGCGTGGTGTGTGTTAAGGGCGAGGCGGTCTCGTAAGCTGCCTCCACACCATCATGTAGAAATGAATCCTATACAGGCTGCACTCAGGTATATAACTTGTTTGTAGACGCCCTTATTTGATATTTCTATCAGTTTTATATACAATTCAATGTTCCATTGACTTGTGTTGAGATATTTTAATCGAGAGATTAAAATATCTCAACACAAGTCAATGAAAGCGAGAGTTCAACTGATAGTGAATAAATTATAAAACTAATTCAACACTACCTTATTTTAAGGAAAACAATATTTTTTCAAATTTAGCGTAATTTTATATTGTCCATTTTCGTAGTTATGTTTGAATAGTAAAACACATATACTTCCCATATTAACGTAAATGTTTAATTTAATTTGTGTTTTCTTATATAAATATTAATAATATCTCTATATATAGGTATGTGGTAGGCCACATCGGTGGTCGTCAACAGTTGATAAGCGCAGTTCCACCAGACATGCCGCCTATAGCCAAGGAGGACCTGGCAGCCGCCTACCACGAGAGACAGGCTGACTCCGACTACGGCTTCCAAAAGGAGTTCGAGGTATTTGTAATAAAAAATATATATTTCCGGGATGTAAAGTAGCCTATGTGTTATTCCTGGACGTTAGCTCCCTGTATACAAAATTTTATCAAAATCGATTCAGCCGTTTAAGCGTGAAGAAGTAACAAACATACACACACACTCACAAACTTTCGCAATTATAATATTAGTAGGATTAATATTAAAATACACAGGTGTTTGAAAAATGACTGTGGTGTTATATTACAGTGGCAGGTTCAAATCCTGTTTGTGACTATAATTTTGCTTATACATGATAAGCATATATAGATATATTTCAAAAGTCTTTTTTTTAATTATGAAGTAAATATAAAAATACATTACTTAATTCAAGGATATACATAAAGTAATATAATTTATTTAAGGTTAATTCAATTTTATTGTTCTTACAGAACTTTCTTAAAATCTCGTATAATTAATTGATGTTATTTTTCAAGTATTATAGATTATTTGTTTTTCATTACATTTGTAGTTTTTAAGTCTTTCTTGTCAGATTGTTTTTAAATAGTAATATCTCTTCAGTCTTTAAAACACCACCAAAGGTCATCGAGAACCGTTATTAATATAAAAAAATATCATTTTTATTACAATCTTTAAGAAATTAACTTATAATTAGAAAAACAGTTTATTGAAGCATTCTAATTAGACTCTGAATCTGTGGTTAAATGATGGTACATTTATAAAAAAGACATTTTTATGCTTCTCAAACAATTATTATTTGATTTCTATTCTTTCTCTGATTAATAAGTCTTTATATTTCACTTTAGTTTTTACTGTTTATTACTTTAAAAATTTATATGTTTTTTTCATTAACATTTTCCTAATATTTGTTTCTAAACCCATACAATTACATATTTGTCATAGTTTCCTTTACTTAACTTTTATTTGTTAATCCACTATTTTAATTATACATCTCATTACCATAATTTCTTATTATTTTTTTATATCTGAGTCGTAATGACCCCCAACCCACTGAAAAGTTGTTACAGATGTTACCGGAGTGTTATCCAGATCGTACAACACATGCTTCAGAGGCAAGAGAAAATCAACCCAAAAACAGGTACCCGGATATCAAGGCATATGATCAAACGAGGGTCAAACTGACACAGATAGATGGAATCAGCGGCTCGGATTATATAAACGCTAACTATGTCATGGGTTATAAGGTATGTATGATTAATATCATATTTGATTTAATAAATATTAACTTTTAAACCGATCAATATCAACTATGAGAATTTCTGTTGTGATTATCATGTTATGAATTTTAATATTTGTTATATAGTAATCGACTTTGAAGAGATTATTATTAACTGATTGAAGTTTTTGATACATCTTCTACCTGGCAATTTCCCAGCTTTAGCCAGTGTCTGCCTTACATATTGTGAATAGTTTTGGTTAATTGTTTTTACGATCAGCTGCCTGTCTGACATCATTCCTCTTTGGGAATGCATTATTAATCAGTGATGTCTAAATACTCTTAGAAAGTACATATGACTCGGAAAAATCACATTGGTACTTGCCAGGGCCAAGATCGAAGCAGTGCCTTCGTGCATGAGAGGCGGGCCTTTTAACCTCTAGGCCAACACTGACTGTAACTGATATGATACTAAATTATATAAAAGTTACCATATTAATTCAAAAGAATCTTTTTGAAGTCGGTTATAAATAACTTTCATAATAGGTTTATTAAATGTGAAAAATATGTTTTTTATTATAATTTATATGTAGTGTGCACTGTTTTATTCTTTCCTATTGTCCTCTGCTTACTAAGGACCCTTTGGAACTTAATCAGGTGATGCATGACATCTTAGGAATTCTTTATGCTTTTAATGTAGCCTTAAACAGTAATAGTAGTTAATCAGTTGTACTTATTTTCATACATCATCATAATTAATATTCCCATATGATAACCATTTTAATAAGACCTCTAGGCAATCTAAATGTAGTGGCAAGAATACACTCATCATGAGTCTTTGTAAAACGATCAGTAGTCAACATTTTCAAAAATAGTTAGTCATTAAAGATACATTTAGTTTTTCTATTTGCTTTATTGCGTTTCTCTTTATATATAAAAAATACTTACCTTAGCTTATAGTATGCTATGATATTAATTATATAGAACAAAAAAAACATCACTTCTGATTCGAACCGGCGACCAAAACATTCTGTTGAAATCGCTTTTCCAATCAAGCTTAGCGACTTTGCTTGTTGATGAATTTTGCATTCTATCATAGTGAAAAAGGTTTTATATCAATTAGCTTAGCCTTGCTTGAATATCCAAAAAAAAAAACAGATTTAATATCATATATATGTTTTAATTCAACAGGAACGTAAGCAATTCATATGCGCCCAAGGCCCTACTGATACGACTGTTAACGACTTCTGGCGGATGATCTGGGAGCATGACCTTGAACTGATAGTGATGCTGACCAACCTTGAGGAGTACTCGAAAGTGAAGTGCAGCAAGTACTGGCCGGACGACGTGAGGGGAGGACGGGCGTTTGGGAGTATTAGTGTGTACCACGTGGCTGAGAAGAGGTGAGGCTTAGATAATTAATAATATTAGTACATATATGATAATAATGTTTTTGGATTATGTTAAATACCCAAGATAGGGTACGGACAAATGAAACGATCGCTAACTAACAACGCACAGCTATACACAACTGCTAACTGCTAAAGCAATATATGGGTGGTCGCAGCCACGCCTAAACTATATATCTATACGTAGGTATAGGTACATATGTAACAATTAGTATATGAAAATAATGTTTATATTGAGTTATAGAACTTCTGACTTATATACTGACGACGTTTCGGTTAATTGCAGTGAACGTGATAACGGAATTCGAAAATATTGGTTTCATTTAAATGTACTTGTGGAAGTCCTATTTCTCATTATATGTACAGGGTGACTGGTGAATTACTATCGATACTTCAGGACGCGATATTTGACGATCATATATGTATGACAAAATAAAAATTAATATAACATAAATATTAATAAACTTCTGAGTAAAGTTAACCAAAAGTTATGTAATTAATTACGCATCGTGTGAACACCCTACAGATTAGGTATACACACACACACACACACACACGCGTGGTGTTGTATCAGCACGCCGCCGCACGCGTCCACACTTGGAACACTTGGAACGTGTACACACTTTATTTATTTATACGGAAATTTGGTCAAAAATTAAGCACCTATTTTTTTTACATAATTCGAATGAGAATCATGTACTGACTATTCTCCTTAAATATTGATAGTAATTCACCAGTCACCCTGTATATGTATGAAAATTCAAGTATAAAATGAATGATGAATTGATAGAGCTTCAAATTTCGCTGAATGTGTGACATGCAAAAATTGCTTCCAATAAAATTGCAAAAGCCTGTGTCAATGATCAATTTGATATTAAAAATATTATCTTAAATATAATGTGTGATATTACGGTAAATATATACGGTATATAATTAAAATTAAATATTTCTAATATATTTTCGATTTGTAAATTTTTGTATAAAATTTTTCAGATATTCTGATTACATCGTGAGAGAGTTGAAGATATCAAAACAGCCTCTCAACTCGGACGGACAGCCCGTGGTTGAAAACAATGGAGTAGCGAAGAGGAATGGAGGTAGAATTAATAGATTATTATTAATTTACTAGTTTTTGCCCGCGACTTCGTCCGCGTTAATTTGGTCAAGAGTAATATATGTAGGTATAGCTGACCAGGCGAACTCTATTTCGTCTTAGAGGCCATAAATAATCAGGTTTTTCCTGTTTCAATCAAAAAGAACGATTGACATATTTGACATAGTTAGTTGTCAAATCTAATGTCAAAAAAAACGTTTGTATGGGAAATAGAAAAGGGCTGTTTTTAGGGTTTTCCCAGCAATTATTCAAATTTTTCTCACCTTTTAAACCTTCCCTGGACTTCCAGGAGTATTTCAAGACTAAAATTAGCCAAATCGGTTCAGCCGTTCTCGAGTTTTAGCGAGACTAAGGAACAGCAATCCATTTTTATATATATAGAAGATAACGTATAATAAAAAAATGTATATTTGATCTTTATATCATTGAATTTGGCTGTCTATAAATACTTGTCATTAAATTCCATTCATAGGAATGTGGTAATAATAAATTATTTTTACTAATGTATTTTGTATTATTTCTTAGGATTGAAATTGTGATAATATTAACATTCTAGGCAATAATAGTAATTATATTATCTTAAAAAATATATAGTAATTACAATTCCCGATTATATACAGGATGTTTATAAATAAACATAGCTAACAAAACTATAAGAAATTCAATTTAGGGTTTGTTAATGTATAATAAATTGTTTCTATTTCAGATTGTGGTATGAGTGACAGCGTGCCAACCTCTCCTCGTGATAACAAGTCCGCTGACTGTCGCCTCGTGAGGCAGTATCACTTCCTCATGTGGAAGGACTTTGCTGCTCCCGAACACCCACACTCTATACTCAAATTTATTAAGGTGCCACTATTAATATGTACTATATATTCATAAAGATACCATAGTTAATCTATACTGCGTCTTTATATGGATACCCCAATTAATATAAATTATATTATCGTGAAATGGCATAACACTATCCATTACTATAGAGTAAAAATTTAATAATCAAAGCAGGCTTATTCTGACAGAATAGTACATATATTAATATAATCATATGTAGTGGATAGCTGTTGGATATAGTCTAATTTTTTATTCCTATGTAAAGATGCAGGCATTCAAACTATGTAGGAAAAAGATTATATTTTAAACTAATATCTATATATATTTTTTTAATTTTCTACTGTTACATATTATTTATTTTTAGTCTGTGGAGATGTGTAAATTATTATTATTATTGTTACAGAGAGTAAACGAAGCCTGGTCAAGTATGGTCGGCCGGCCGGTAGTAGTTCATTGTTCAGCCGGCGTAGGCCGCACGGGGACGCTCGTAGCACTCGACTGTCTGCTAGAACAGTTACGGGCTACGGGACACGCCTCCGTCTTCAACACCGTAGCAGAGCTACGACGACAGAGGAACTTCCTAGTACAATCATTGGTAATATATTATTATTTTAGTAATATAATCTAATAAGAATTATATGGACAAGCAATGATCTCAGTTCTTAAAATGATATATAGATAATAAATAAATAAGCTCTTATAATGAAACTGAAAAAATATTTGTAGAAGATTACGAAAAATATATATCATATTTTATACTCTAGATTAGATTAATAACTTAATAGTGAACTATGCTAATATAAATAAACTAATATATAATGTATTATGAATAGAAACAATACGTTTTCGTATATCGAGCGTTGGTTGAGTACGCGCATTATGGCGACACTGAGATACCGGCTTCAAGACTGAAGAGTTCCATCGATAGGCTCAGGAACACACCAGAGGGCGCTGACAAATGTCTCATGGAACACGAATTTGAGGTCGGACATTAATATATTCATCTAATAATATTAGCTCTGTAAGGTGTAGATTTCTCCTGTTATTGAATAGCTGATTTAACACTCAAATTCATATAAATAGTTTCAAAACTACAGCGTGATTAGTTATTTTTAAGTGATAAATCTTAGTTGATATCAGAAAATGCACCTTCGCATTTATTTTTCGCTTTTCGCGTAAAAAAAAAGACTCTGTGCAAGTTGATTAAAGCGAGGTACTTTTTTGGATATGGGTTTCGTTTTCTGGCCCTGAAGTTGAAATTAGTGGTGTGATCACAATTTTTCACACCAGATAACTATCTATCGAACGAAAAATGAATCTCCGTATATAAATGACCTGAATAACCAGTATAGAGCTCAACTCGCTTCATTCAGTAATTACACTAATATATAACGTGTGACAAGGGTTTTATTTAAAAGTTTATTTTTATTTAGTATTTTTACAAGTTAATCCAGAGTTTACTATAGCAACACTAGAGAACTAGTTGAAGACGACTATTATGTTTGCCAGAAAACTAAGATTTTGTACTTCAACCGTTCTTCACTATCCATACCTCCGACATATATAATATAAATGCTCAATGTTGATTAACAGAAGATGATGTCACCACCTATCTCCGAGGCTACCAAGTCATGTGCGGCGGGCGGCGCCGGGGGCTCGGACGAGCTGCGAGCCAGGAACAGAAGCCCCGACTGTCTGCCTTACGACAGAAACAGGGTCATACTACCCCCACTACCGGGCCGAGATTACTCTACATACATCAACGCATCATTCATTGAAGGTAAAAACGTGTTCCTTATTACCAAGCATTAAAGTTCATTTTAGTATAACAAACATGGAACTAATTTTCTAATAACTGAAGACATTTGTGTCTGTTACTGAACAGTTCTTTTATCAGTTTGAATTAGAATGTGTATTTTTATTATCAATATCTGGATTTGTACAGACGTCGTTACAAAAAATATTCATATACATATAATATTTGAATATCATATTTTTTTTGTCAATTGTTTATACATTTTATTACTTAATATCCCTAGAAATTATATTGTTTTTTGTATCACAATCAAGTTATTGCAAAAGATTATAGTCTATGAGGTTTTTTATTAGCATTTTGTATGTAATTCTAATATAATATGTAAATATTGATGTAATATTTTATTTATAGGAGTAATTTCTAATATTATACTTGTTTTTCAGCGTATGATAACACAGAAGGCTTCATAATCACACAGGATCCACTTCCTAACACTATAATGGACTTTTGGAGGATGGTAGCTGAACACAATGTGTCCACTATTGTTATGTTAAGTGAGGTAATAATAATAATACTTGTTTGGTTATCTATCTAAAATTATTTATATTAACGCCATCTATCGGTGATTGTCGTACTGATAACTCAAATATATGTAGTATCGTACTGATAACTCAAATATACCTTCGATCAATATAATTAAAATTATATTTGTATTATATATATACAGGGTGACTGGTGAATTACTATCGATACTTGAGGACGTGATATTTGACGATCATATATGACAAAATAAAAATTAATATAACATAAATATTAATAAACTTCTAAGTAAAGTTAACCAAAAGTTGTGTAATTAATTACGCATCGTGTGAACACCCTACAGATTAGGTATACACACACACTCACACATACGCGTGTCGTGACGTAGTGTTGTATCAGCACGCCGCCGCACGCGTCCACACTTGAACACTTGGAACGTGTCAACACTTTATTTATTTATACGGAAATTTTGTCAAAAATTAAGTGCCTATTTTTTTTACATAATTCGAATGAGAATCATGTACCGAGTATTCTCCTTAAATATTGATAGTAATTCACCAGTCACCCTGTATATATAATAAAACGTGTTCAAAAACACTGTTTGGTTTAACAGAACTATTATCTTTTGTAAATATTATGTCCATTCATATTATATTATATGATCCACTCATAGTAATTACATAATTCAAATTGTTTATTCTAGCTTGGTGAAGGTAAATGTCCCCGTTATTGGGACGACGGTACGATACAATATGAACACATCTCAGTACAGTATGAAGAAAGCGAGTCATGTCCATACTACACAAGGAGGCAGTTCAGAGTTACCAATAATAAGGTATACTATATACTAATTATACTGTTGAATACCTGAAAAAACATATAGACATATAACAACATTATTTATATAAGAAATTTTGATGTCTTCACAGTTTAAACCATCAAAAACTTTTTTGCATAGCTGCATAATCTTTTGTTAAAACAGAATTATTGCTTTTAATATATTTTCAATAATCCCCAGTGTTATTACGTCTCATATGGTATTTGCTCTATAAACTCTGTTTCTAGCTATAAAGAATATTAGCTGAGGCAGTGATATAATACAAATCTAATCTTTATATATATAATTCTTCTGTGAGTGTGTATGTCACTGAACTTCTCTCAAACGACCGACCGATTTTTGTGTATATTGGATTGGATATTTTGTGTGTTCAAGGGAATCTTGGAATGGTTTAGATTCACAATTTTGTCCGCTGGGCAATGTTTTTTTAATTTATTAGTAGTTGTTGATACAAACGTTGTCTTTTTGACATTAGATTTGACAACTAACTAATATGTCAATCATTCTGTCGCACTTCAAAACACGGAGATTTATGGCTTTAATAGGTAAACTCCAAAAATATAAATAAAAAAACGTAACAGATATTTCTTGATTATAGGGCGATACGAAGTTCGCCGGGTCTTCTAGTTATATATATAATTTTATCTCTTCTTCAGAGCGGAGAGTGGCGTTGCGTGAGGCATCTTCAATACCAAGGCTGGCCGACAGCGGCGGGTCACGTACCGGAAGTGACGCGAGGGTTGGCGGAACTAGCGGAATTAGCGGCGCCCTTGGACTCAGCGCCCGCGCCGCCGCTCGTAGTACACTGCCAGTAAGTAGAAAACTATAATAACACACTGAGAACTCTGCGTTGACAACCCTGGAAAAATATCTAATCTATGGTTTCATTCATAATAACAGTGGATTTATTTATTAACTGTGGTTTAATTTATTAACTGTGGATTAATTCATTAACAGTTGATCAATGTATTAACAGTTGATTAATTCATTAACGGTTGATTAATTTATTAACTGTGGTTTAATTCATTGGGGGCCGTTCAAGTATTACATAAGCAGATTTATTACAATTGTTTACCCCCCCATCCCTCTTGTCAGCAAAAGTAAGCAAAGCTCTTACCCCCTCAGCCCATGCTTACGTAAAAATTTTCAATTACTATATTTTTATTTTTAATATAAGTCCAGAAAAAAATATAATTGTATTTTTTTATGGATCTACTCGATGTGAGGATTAAAAATTAATAACTACCGATGACGTAATCGATACCTAGACTCCCCTACCCCCAATGTCATCCAAAATAAGCAAAGCAAAGACCCCCCCGCCCCTCCATAGTGCTTACGTAATACTTGAAGGGCCCCATATATATAATTAGATTATTTTTAGATAACCCCAATATCATTAAGGTAGAGCCTAGATGTCATGTAACTACAGGTCAAACATGTGCTGGCTCGATTAGGGAAGTACCACCCTCTCACAGAAGATCGGCGTCAAGTAGCCTTTAATGGCTGTGTTTCGTTCGATGAGTGACAGAGCCGGTTGCCCTTTCCCTAATCCCATCTTTTCCTGTCATTTTCTTATTCCCATCCCTCCCTATTACTAAAAAACAAAGATTGGCAACGTATCCGCAACATAGATGTTGCCCTCTAAGTAGGCTGTTTACTCGTTTGCCACCTTTCACATAAAAATACCATACTATTTCTAGACTGCCCTCATATATCATAACCTAATAATATTGTTTTATATTTCAGATTCGGTACAGAGCGTTCACCTTTATTCGTGGCTCTATGTACTCTAATGTGTCAGCTGCGTGTTGAGCGTCGTGTAGATGTCGCCACCGTCGCTAGGAAAGTTCGCTCACAACGGGCGAGGACTATTGATACCTTTGTGAGTATTCAACTACATATATATAATTATTTAGTGTTTCATTTATTACTAACTAGTAAACCCGGCGAACTGCGTTTCGTTACCAGAAGGCTTTTATATAACATTTCGTTTGGTGACTAAAAGATGAAGATTTTTTTTTTGTTTTATATTTGAAAAGGAAAATTTTTATTTCATTTCACAACAGTAATGAATTCATTTCGATTACAAAAATGAAGTGTTATTTAGTTGAACTTCTCTAAGTAAATGAAAGTGAATCCAAAGTAGATACCGAATCGAAGCGTTATACGTGTCCGCAAATTATCCGTTTCATTGAAGTGCTCCTTTGTAAACCACATTTTTTGTTTTTTGGTCTAACTTTAACACAAATAAACCCCAGTGAAAAACAATGATTTTCTAAATTTATCCCGCAAATACTAAATGGTTTTAAGAGTTCAAACTACAAACACAATACCGGTTTGTCACATGAAATTAACTGAGAAGAGAACAATGAGTAGCTGTCAAACAATGTATCATGCGACGGCACCATCTACTTAAAAATACTTAATATTGATTTGTAGTACATGTTATGTACGATGGCGCTGTATGTGACAAAAGATTTTCCCCCTTCTGTTGAAATTTTTTGTTGTCACGGAGCCCGAGACCTTTCCACGAATGCAAAACCGTGGAAATTGGTTCTTTCGTTCTGAAGTTATAGCGTCAGGATGGAAAACCGGACTTATTTTTATATAGTAGATTTCTTACAAATATCAAATTGTCATCCATACGTCATACATATCTGTCATTATACGTCAATTGTGTTTCGTTATTCCACGTTTTATAGTGACTGACGTTTCATATCAAGTCCCACGGGAATGATGTCGAACGGGATAAAAAGTATCCTATTGCAATTTCCTGGTTCTAAACTACCTCCCTGCCAATTTTCAGCTAAATCGGTTCAGTCTTGAGTTATAAGTGGAGTAACTAACACGACTTTCTTTTATATATATAGATTGTGAAAAATTTACCTTAGTAGTCATTAATATAGAAAATATTTTAGCTCGATTTTTCTTCTGATAATCTGCTTCCAATGTAGATACGCGTAATTATCCAACGGTACTTACGCGGATTTGCACTATCCCCGACGTTATATATAGAACCTCTTTCATAATACCTTCATCCTTCCCGAGATAAAATACTTTAACCAATAAAAAAAATCGTTATATAGAATATTTTTTTAATTAAACTAACCCTTTAGGCTTTACTATTAATATGCATTATTTGTATTACTTGTAAATCGTTGAGAATTATATGAAGTATCATCTCTATGTATGTAATAGTTAAATTTTAAATGTACCGAATATTTTATACATAAAATATTTAATGTATTGTTATGCTTACAGTTGCAGTACGAATTCTTACACCGTGCGATATTAAACTACGCGGAGCTCCACAACCTACTCGAAGATAGTTAAACATTATGTATTACAATTCACACAATATACATATATAAGAGTTACTTATCCTTCATCGGTTTCAGTCCGTCAAATGTTTTCTTTATATATAATATAATCATAACAATAGTTTTCCAAAACTCCGCTTGTCACATACTAGATGGAACATATATAGATGTGTAGATTTAATAATTTTCTATGTACAACATAAGTGTCGCTGTAAGTATTGACAGAACTGAATATAGGTTTATTGCTTGTGTATAATTATTTGCTTAGTGCTTAGTATTATCGGAGCATACTGTATAAAACAATTAATGAATTAATAATTATGACGGAATTATTCATATCAATGTATAATGTGAAGTCGATTCAATTATTTTTGGATTTTTATATACAGTATGTTTCCTCTACTACGTGTATAAAACTATTCTATAGTTATTTAGAGTTTGACAATAGCGCTTAGTTAGTCTAATGTAGTGCTAATCCGAAATTCCCAGTAGTTAAAAATTATTATAATTTCGAAAACATATGTTTGTGTTGCCATATATTTGTTTTAAGTATGTAAAAAAATTTAGTCGTATATCGTAGATCTGACATGATTTGGTAGCTATTTTTTTAAATCAAACCCATCGTTATTATTTTATTACATAAATGTAAGCGATTGTATTATTGTTTTGGTATGAACGTACCAAATAAAAAACGTGTCCAAAGAATAGATTCGGATAATGTCCGATTTATATGTATTTAACGCCGAACACATTTGGTAATATTTTATTTAACAACTCATTAATGTATAGGTTTATAAAACCTATAAGGGCCAAAATTTTACCCCAAATATGCACAAATTTTTATTAAGGCTCGTACACACTATTATTTATATCATGTGATGTTTCTATGAAAAAGATTTTTTTATACAAAACTTCAGTATACCCATATATATATTAACCTACACTTTTGTAGTGTTTTGACAAATATCTTCTATATCGAAGAAATAATTTTCTGATTCTAATAATTACCAAATAAAACGATTTATCAGGAACTTCAATAAATATTTCAACTATCCCCATCTTGTAAATATATCGTCACATAAAATATATAATTAATTACCAGTGTGTGTGCGGCCTTAGAAGTTTTCGATGTATTTACTGTTCGTTTTCGGTATATTATATTATTATCATTATTTTTGTTATTTTTGTATGTCAAGCGACATAACGACTGTCTAACGTATTTTGTACGTAGGTTAAGTGATTACTAGATTTTGTATGAGCTAATATACAATAATATTAATTGGAGTGTACAGCGACTGTAGTATTGAATAATGGACTATAAAATACGACAGGATTTTTTTATTGAATTATATTTAATATTGCAGTCGTTGCAAATAGTTGACAAAGTGTGATCGAACTATCAAAATCTAGTTTAATATAAATGGACTGAATACTTTGTCGGCTATAGATCGTACGATGACGTCATCAACGGGGCTTGCATGCGTGAACCCACGAGGCTTTCATAGTATTAATTTAGACCATAAGTCCATTCTGCATATTAGCGTTTTTTTGCCTTAATAAAATCCGAGCGTTTTTTAAAACGCTGATAAAAAAACGCTAATGCACAAAGGCTGTAAATTTAAAAATTATTTTATGTTTCCTTCCTATTTAACTACTCTGTAAGAAAAAAGTATAATACAATATTAATATTTTTTTTAATTATTGTTCATTTGTTATAGAATGAAAGTATTTTTGGAATTTAATACATAAAAAATTGTGGATGTAATAAAATGTGAACCGGTTATAATCGGTTATGGATCTCTAATTGTGTTCAATATATTAATATCGGGAACCACGTGCAAGCTCTTTGACTTTGGATGTCGGCTTTTATTACGTAGACTTTTGTATAACATAGTTGTAATTTATCCATAACCGTTTAATGATGCTATTGTAAAATTTTTATTTAATTCAAAACATTATTTCTATAGAGGGAAATTGAAAATGTATAAACTATTTTTTTAATCCGTAATTCATAATAAATGAGAGTAAATTAAACATTGGTGAAATTTTTCCGTAATATGTATTTATAAAATTCAAAAATCCTTTTAAATGGTCAAGTTTATCCAATAGCCGATTCCCACGTCATGACGTCGCAGATAAACAAGCAAACAAACATTATCTAACATACATTTTATATTTGATATTTAACCGGTAATTTAAGAGCTATGCTTCGTTGTAAATATATTTGTTAAGCGGTGTTACGCGCAACTGTAGTGCTCTATTTAATTGAACGTACCTAAACCTTGGCAGTTATAAAACTGAAAAATAATTTTTATTATGTTTTTTTTATTATTATTATTTTTGTAAATAGATAATGCAGGTCATGTAACACGATATTTTTGAAAATATACCAATATTTAGAAATTATGTGTCTGTTTTATTGTTGACAAGCTATTCTGTTTGGGGTGAAAGCCTTATTTTCTTAGTTATAAACCTTAGGTGGAAATAATTATAATATATAACTTATGTTTCTAAACTAATTGTTGTCCATTAATTGATTCTTCAGTAATAGTTATAACTAGCTACGGTGTCCTATGAATAATAATGTATTTAAAAATATAGATTTCATCGAAGATTTGAATGAAAAAGTAATGATCCGTCGAGTAAGGTGTTTTTAATGGGGAAACCAATAAATCAATAAAAATCTTTTAAACGCCGCATGCGTAGACTCCAACTCACTTGTGATTTAATCAAGAGTATGATATAAGTACTGGAAATCAATTTCTAATTGAGATTGTTGAGACACAACCGTCAGCAATAACCCGCTCACGTGTTCTAAGCTTGGCTAACAGGCAGCCTTTGTGATATTGGCATTTGGCATGTGCTTGAGCTACGCGCCGTACTGAACAGTACTTGGACAACGCAACATTATTTTATTTTTCTAAAATAAAAGATTTCTTCTAAAATAAAAGTAGCCTAAGTTACTCCTTGTTACATCAGCTGTCTACCACAAAAAATCGGTCCAGTCATTTCAGAGATTAGCCGGTAGAGACAGACAGACAAAATTGTAAAAAATGTTATTTTGCTGTATGCACGTATTAAAAAACGGTTATTTCAATATTTCAAACAGGCAATTCAATTTTGTTTATTTTTATAGAATGTAGATAAATTTACACCAAAATTTTTAACTAGCTGAATTCCTAACATGTCTAATACAAAAGTAATCCAACTTGCTTCCTATATATCACCTATCTGTAAAGAAAAGCCACATTAGATATCTCAGGCCGTCATTTTAATATTTTTGCACAAATCCACATACCCTTAGTAAAGAGACAATATATTACAGACTCCCAATATTATTTATTAGAAAAAACGTAAATATCTGATGACGTCACAACCTGATAGAGCTAAAAATATATAATAAAATAAGGAAAACATGAAAAACTCATTGTGTGCTAGTAACTTTAATTATCTAATAATAATAATGTTATCACAGTTAAAGAAACTTAAAAAAATTAATGAAATCTTAAGTATAGGAATGTAACATTTTAGGTTTCTTTACAAAAGTACATAATATTAATTTGAAATTAATAAATGCATTCAATTAAAAGTAATCAGACTTATTGTTTGACGAGGAATTCTTAAACTATGTTCATTTATTATCACCAGCTCCGGCTTGTGAGTTCTGCTCCTTGATCTCCTTCCTCACGGGTCCGGTCTGCGCGATGGGAACACTTCGTTCATTCTTCGATCCTGATGCCACTTTCGGAGCAATAACACTCAACACTCCATCTGAAGACAGCCGTGACTCTACTGTGTCTGGATTACAACCTTCCGGGAGTGCGTATCGTCTAGTGAACTGACGGGATATAAAGCCGTGTTCGTCTTTCTTTTCTTCGTGTTTTCCTTCCACGACTATGTAACCGTCTGCAGTCTTCACAGTTATTTCCTCAGGTTTGAAATGCTGCACGTCCAAGTTGACTTGGAATTTATCTTTGTCCGACTTGATGGTGGATCCGACGTCCCTCGCAGCAGCCGCCATCTGACGCCAGGGTCTGTAGTAGTCTCGTGATAGTAGTGGAGACACGGCAACAGTCAGTAGATCGTCGGGAGTCAAAGACAAGCCGAAGTCCTGATCGATGAGACGGTGAGGACGTTCGTAACCCAGCACGAATGGTAACAGAGACATTTTGGAGTTTAAATACAGAGTTTGTATCGCTTGAAGAATAATAAAGTAACGTAAGGTCGCAGTGCTAGAGCACTAGTAAGTTTCTCGTATCGCTTGCTTGTACTGAATGCCGGCCTGACGGATGTCGCGGGTTATATATTGAATGGAACGCCATCTAGTGTGCGCTAGAATTTTCGAGAATTCGTTGGGCGAGAGGTGGTCCAAAGAGATTTCTACTTTGTTCTAGAATTCGCATTGAAATTGTATCTTCCCGCCATCTAGTGGAGAGTAGCTTAATACAAGACTGTCATTGTGGCAACGCTTTTGTTGATAAGTTAATGTTTTTTGATAATTATGTTTTGATATTACAAAATTTTCATTTTATTATTATTCAGTCATTAGTTTTTTTAATTTTTAGTTTTTTTATATTTATCTTGAAAATTTTACTGTTTTTTGATCATAACGACCTCTGGAAGCTCAATCTAGAAGTCGTAATAGCTATTAAATAATATTTCATTGACTTTGAAGTACATATTACACATATTTTACAACTGTTTCACTTGAAACTGAAGTGGCTTCTTTTACTCCTTCGTCTTCCTAAGTTTTAAGAATGGTCCGATAAAAATGAGCATATTTATCAAAAATATATATAAATAAATAACAACCTTATTAAAAACAGACGAAGGTTAATTTATATCAGGACTCCTGTGTTGTGCGATTAATCATTGTTATCTATCGCATATTTAACAACTGAGAGGCTAGGTGTTTCTGTCATATAAAGACTAGTGAATATTGAGAAGTTTTAGATTTTTTAACAAGTTGCATTTTCGGTAAACTTATAATATAATTACAATAATTCGTTCAATACGAGTCGAGACGCATCGGATACACCATTATGTTATACTAAATCTTTGGTTAGCAGTTTCTTCCGAATTAACAAATCATAGTGCATGACACTGCCCTGAGGAGAGGGAATTAATATTTTCACGGGGAGATCTTTTTTATTTTTATTATATTTGTTGAAATATTATATAATTTAAATTTATGGTAGAACGGTTACATAATTTTGTAATTAATGCACTATATATGTACCTTATTTAATTAATTATAGTGTTGATGTATGTATTTTATATAGTTGCCTTTTATTTTAATAAATCAAATTTTGCATGGTAATAAGGCAACTAGTCATTGGTGGCCTGGTGGTTAAAAAATCCGCCTCTAATGCTCGAGGGTGCGGGTTCGATCCTGGCAAGTACCAAAATGATTTTTCCGAGTCATATGTACTTTTTAAACGGTTTTATTTAGCTCACCCCGTTTGTTTTATTATTTATTCTTTATTCTTTTGTCATTCATTTTTCTTGGGTCAAATTTAGTAATTCAAATTTCACCCTCTTCCTGTCAACCGATTAATCTGAAATTTTGTATACACTTTGGATTTTGGTGACAATACAATTATGGTTATTCATTATCATTATAAATCCAAGATGGCGGCCGCTAAAAAATGGCGGATAACGTAGGTTATATCAATCCCATCAATATGGGTATTTGGTATCAGATGAAAGTGCTGAACCAGTAGAAAAAAATATACTATAAAAAATTAAAATCCAAGATGGCCGCCGATACCAAATGGCTGATAACAATTTTTAGAGGAGCTGGACTGCAATAAACTAACGGGCAAGAAACCTTGCAATAATGAAGCACAAATGAATTAAACAGAATGTGAAATAAAAACTAAAAACTAGAAAATAAAAATAGGTAAAAAAACTTTTTAAGTTAAACGGTTTTCCGTGAAACATATATTGCAATGTTTAAGATAAATGTCTTCTTCTTCTACCTGGCAATTTCCCAGCTATAGCCAGGGTCTGCCTTACATGACGTGAATAGTTTTTGGCTATTTGTTTTTACGACCGGCCGCCTGCCTGACATCAACCCTCTTTTTGGGAATCAACATTAATCAGTGATGTCTAAATACTCTTAGAAAGTACATATGATTCGGAAAAATCACATTGGTACTTGCCCGGGCCAGGATCGAACCCGCGCCCTCGGCGACGAGAGGCCGAAAGGCGGGACCTTTAACCACTGAGCCACTACTGACTATCAATGTTTAAGATAAATGTACTTAAAAAAATTAATAATAAAATAGATACAGTCGTGGGAATAATATAAACATATGCACAGGCTAGATCAAAATAAAATTTAATAAAAACCAAAAAATAATTTTTTTTTTTGGTTTTTAGTAAATTTATCTTAAACATTGCAATGTATGTTTCACGGAAAACCGTTTAACTTAAAAAGTTTTTTTACCTATTTTTATTAAGAGTATTTAGATATCACTGATTAATGCATTCCAAAAGAGGATTGATGTCAGGCAGGCGGCCGGTCGTAAAAACTATTAGCCAAAACTATTCACAACATGTAAGGCAGACCTACAGCTGGGAAATTATCAGGTAGAAGAAGAATTAAATAAGGTAACTCTATCTTGATTTTAATTTACTTACCAACTCTGAATATCCCTCGCATCTCAACATTGAAACTATAGTGCAATTGGTCACACCTTTATTTACTATTTTGTATTTGAGAGTATTTACTGAAACAAACGAAATATTATTACTTTGTAAGTCATAATAGACTGATTCGAAGAAAAAATTGCACTTTTTTAAATTAAAAGGTGTCACGTTTATTATTACATTTGGTTATAATTAACGGCTGCTAAATACCTATACGTAAAGTTTTCCAAATTAATTTCTTGAATACTCTTTGTCATCAACAGGAGGAGAAAGAGTTTTCAATAACCAGAAGGGATTTGTTTTTAAACTTTAAATTAATTATTAGGGAATATTTTTTTCGAATCTTTAGATATTTTTCATGATTCTGCTTATCTGCTGCTCAAAATTTCGTGATAAATGTTTCAGATTTCTCATTTGGCCTTGAAAATATTAAATTAGGATACCTATCATTACATAGAGAATTCTAAAAGTTTGAAGCGATTAACTATAAAAATAAATTAATAACTAAGTAACAAGTCTCAGTACTTTCTTGTGACTTTTTTGTATATAATTTTTCCGTGGGAATTAAAAAATAAATAAAATGACAATATAAAAGCCCAATTGGTCAAGCTATTTTCAAGATATAAAACAACTTTGCAACATTCATCATTATAAGATGTAGGGTATTTGTAACATTAGCATACCAAAGGATATTTTTTATTGTAACTGTTTAAATAATAAGAATGTACCATGAAACCACATTTAAAACATTCAAATAGAGATTTGATCTCTCAGATCAATCCCGATATTTAATAGGTACATTAAGTATAGCATTGCTTATAGTTAAAATAAGCGATCTAACCTATATTTACGACTGTTAAATGGATGAGTTAAGTAATAGTAGATATCAGAACGATTCGGTTAGATTTAAATTTTAAGGACCAAAAGAATTAAGAATAAATACGCTTTTAAGAACATCGAATTGTAATGGATCATCGAAAAGGCATATTATTCTGTAGGTATACGTGAAAGCTTTATAATATAATAGTAAATTATTTCACAATACGATTAATATATAAATATATACTTGTTAATGTTATGAGTAAAACAAAGATTATTTGTATACGACGCTTTATTTTACTTAGGTACAAGTAATAAATAATAAGAGGTAGGAACTAAAATCACATTCGAGTGTAATTTACAAAAGTTATCATACAAACTTAATTAAATGCATACGATTAAAAGTAATCAGACTTATTGTTTGACGAGTAATCCTTAAACTATGTTCATTTATTATCACCAGCTCCGGCTTGTGAGTTCTGATCCTTGATCTCCTTCCTCACGGGTCCGGTCTGCGCGATGGGAACACTTCGTTCATTCTTCGACACTGATGCCACTTTCGGAGCAATAACACTCAACACTCCATCTGAAGACAGCCGTGACTCTACTGTGTCTGGATTACAACCTTCCGGGAGTGCGTATCGTCTAGTGAACTGACGGGATATAAAGCCGTGTTCGTCTTTCTTTTCTTCGTGTTTTCCTTCCACGACTATGTAACCGTCTGCAGTCTTCACAGTTATTTCCTCAGGTTTGAAATGCTGCACGTCCAAGTTGACTTGGAATTTATCTTTGTCCGACTTGATGGTGGATCCGACGTCCCTCGCAGCAGCCGCCATCTGACGCCAGGGTCTGTAGTAGTCTCGTGATAGTAGTGGAGACACGGCAACAGTCAGTAGATCGTCGGGAGTCAAAGACAAGCCGAAGTCCTGATCGATGAGACGGTGAGGACGTTCGTAACCCAGCACGAATGGTAACAGAGACATTTTGGAGTTTAAATACAGAGTTTGTATCGCTTGAAGAATAATAAGGCAACGTAAGGTGGCAGTGCTAGAGCACTAGTTGTATTTCTTGTATCGCTTGCTTGTACTGAATGCCGGCCTGACGGATGTCGCGGGTTATATATTGAATGGAGCGCCATCTAGTGTGCGCTAGAATTTTCGAGAATTCGTTGGGCGAGAGGCGGTCCAAAGAGATTTCTAGAATTCACACGAAGTTGTATTACCGCGCCATCTAGTAGAGAGTGGATGTGTGACTTAATTTGTAAGATTAGTATAAGCTTGTTTACGTAGGTAAAATAACGACTTGGAGAAAAATGAGAAAACCATAACATTATTGTTAATAAATCTTAATACGTTTGAAATTATAAGTAACGCTTGCTTTTAAATCTTTCGTTATTGTTGTCAGTTTGTTAAAGAACTTGATCTTAATAAAATAGTTATATTTTTATGTTAGAATCTGAATTTCATTAGGGGCTTTATAAAGTGAGTTTTAAATATTCTCTACTAAAGGGCGGTGTATTGAGTACGTATTGATTGGATAAAAATATAAATCCTTTTTTTAAGTAAGTATAATTTGCTTTTCATAGATCAGAACATTATATTTTTTTTTATTTATTTCAGTGCTATTTTTAGAAACCGTGAAAAGTTTCATTTTTGGTAATGATATAAACTTTTGATAATATGTGTAGAATAATTTCTCATTCATTAAGATCGAATGTACCAGCATATTAGTCTAAAATTAGTTAGCCGTTTCTTCCGATCACATCGCAGGATAGAGAATTAATATTTTCAAAGGCAGTTCATTTTTATATCTACATATTATGGAGATATTATATTTGTTAAAAATAAAATTCTTGAAATGTGTATGGTATTCAATAGAACGCTGTCTAGTGGACGCTAGAATATTCGAGAATCCGTCGTGTAAGAGGCGGGTCAAAAGGAAACTCTACTGCGTTCTAGAATGCTCATTTAAGTTGTATACTCCGCCATCTAGTGGAGAGTAGTACTCTGAGGCTTTTATTGTCAGAGGTAAAACTTATTTACGTTCGTAAATATTATACAACATCAACAAAATTTTAAAAATCATTATATTATTGATAAAAATTCTAAAGACGTTTTATATTATGAGTAACGCCTGCTATTAACTCTTTCGTTATTGTTGCCAGTTTGTTACAGAATTCAATCTTGTTAAAATTGTTACATTGTTATGTGAGCAATAACAAAAAAATAATTATTTATATAGTAACCAAGCATATTGTAATCAGGTTACAGTAATACTTCCAGTTTTTTTATACCAATAATAATAGCAGGTAACTTTATTGAAATAGCAACTGTAATTTGAGGTTCATATTTCGGAATTTAGGCAGGCGTTTTCTAAGTCAAGTCTGCAATATTCACTAATTGCGGACGATATATTGTGTTCTCGCTTTAGCCCGCGACTCTGCCCGCGTGAACATGAGTGTGTGTTCTTTGCCACTACGGTCATTGAATCAGACCTGCAGTTCATGGTTCCACCTCTGTAGTTTTGGTCTTCGGATTGGGGATTGGGATCGGGATAGGGATAGAAATTAAAAAATAACAGTACGAACACTGACCCCTAACTACACTTCTAGATAGATCTAGATGAAATATTTTATAAACAGATTATTAGAATAACGGGTAGGGTACCATATAAAAATGTGGTGTGCAATTTAACCTGTGTAATTTCATAAAAGGTAGCCTACGTCCTTCTCCAGGTTCCATTTGTATCCATACGAAAATTCATCAAAATCGGTTCAGCGGATTAGGCGTGACAGACAGACAGAGATACTTTCGCAATAATAATATTAGTAAGGGAAGGAATAAAAATTACGTTTTATTATTCATTAATTGCTTTTCATCGATCACAGCCGTATAATTATTTTCAATTTGCTTTTATTTATTTTTATTATTATTATTATTATTTAACGAACTTATGAAAATGATGTCATACTATGTAAAAGTGAAAATTTCTCAAAATATATTTAAAAGTAAGACAAAGGAACGAAATGCATTTCTTTTTATTATTTAGGAGAAACTTGAGTTATTTATAATTTTACAATTGTAACAATCATGAAAATAATTCCTTAAACTATTAATACATATAATAGGGGACGTCTATTAACTTAAGAGTTTAGAAAATGGTATAAAACACGTAATTAACATTAATAAGGAATAGTTTATTATAATTAATGCTTCTATTCCTGTTTTAATGATATCTCTATAGATAGTAGGTCAGGAAAATGGAGTTTAATTATAAAATAGTTACGCTGATTCTAACAAGTGATACATATAGTTGGTTGGTTTGTTGTTTAAAATATGGCCTTCATCGGTCCAAAGACGTCCATAGTAAATTTTGCCAGTGTCGAGTAAAATGGAAGAGACACGATCCGGGATTAATCTTAAAATGAAATAAAATTTGACCGCCCCGGCTGAAGTCACAATTAGAACTTTGTTAGTTGAAAAAAAATAAAATAAGAATAACATTCCAGTCTTTCAACATCGATCACGTTTATATGATGTATTACAGTTGTTTGTTTCTTATTTTTGCTATAAATTTTTTGTTATATAAAAAAAATTTACATTTTATTTATTTTTAATTATTTAGTAATAAGTTGGTAATTTGTTATTGTCTTTTGTAATTTACATTTTATATTGTTTTATTATTGGTAGTATTTTTTGTGTCCCGTTTTGTATAATTGAAGTAGAAAAAAAAGTTGTGTTAGGTTAATAGAAAATACTGTCCTTTTCCATGCCGTGATAACTTTTAATTGAAACAACACTTAGCTAAAAATGTAAATATCTTTATTTTAAAACCTATAAATGGTGTATGTTTTGTAAGTTGCCCTTATATAAATAAATAGATCTAAAACAACACAAATTCAATTAGATGAAAACATAGGAGTTATACATATACTGTATAAAAAAAGTTAAACTAAGACTAATATTCGATAAAGGTAAAACTGTTTATTACAATATAATTCTATTGATTTTAATATATCTAAATAAAAATTTACTAAAGGAACCTAACACCAAGAAAAGGACATTCATATAACATAATATAATCTGAGTGCTAAGTACTCAATGTCGTTTGATCACAGATATAATCCATGTATAACCAATGGGTTGGTATAATCATATTCAATCAATCCTGGAACAGTTTTGAGGCAGAGTCAAAAGATATTAGAGCCTCGGGACACAATTAAAAATAGGTGTCATTACATCAGAAAAAGCTTCTGATAAATCGAAGGGTATTTCATGTTTATTTCAAGTCACGGTTGCAATTTTATAATCAACTGCAGCTAGTTAGGGCTGATAACAATTAATATTAACAAAATATTGCAAACTGGATATTCCTATGACCTAAATTAGAAAATAAAAAAAAAACAAATTGAATAATTTTATTCTATATTTTATTGAGATTTCTTATCATAATACTACTATAATCACATTCTAGGGTATTGTACAAACGTTTATATAAACTTAAATAAATAAATGCTTACGATTAAAAGTAATCAGACTTATTGTTTGACGAGGAATCCTTAAACTATGTTCATTTATTATCACCAGCTCCGGCTTGTGAGTTCTGGTCCTTGATCTCCTTCCTCACGGGTCCGGTCTGCGCGATGGGAACACTTCGTTCATTCTTCGACACTGATGCCACTTTCGGAGCAATAACACTCAACACTCCATCTGAAGACAGCCGTGACTCTACTGTGTCTGGATTACAACCTTCCGGGAGTGCGTACCGTCTAGTGAACTGACGGGATATAAAGCCGTGTTCGTCTTTCTTTTCTTCGTGTTTTCCTTCCACGACTATGTAACCGTCTGCAGTCTTCACAGTTATTTCCTCAGGTTTGAAATGCTGCACGTCCAAGTTGACTTGGAATTTATCTTTGTCCGACTTGATGGTGGATCCGACGTCCCTCGCAGCAGCCGCCATCTGACGCCAGGGTCTGTAGTAGTCTCGTGATAGTAGTGGAGACACGGCAACAGTCAGTAGATCGTCGGGAGTCAAAGACAAGCCGAAGTCCTGATCGATGAGACGGTGAGGACGTTCGTAACCCAGCACGAATGGTAACAGAGACATTTTGGAGTTTAAATACAGAGTTTGTATCGCTTGAAGAATAATAAGGCAACGTAAGGTGGCAGTGCTAGAGCACTAGTTGTATTTCTTGTATCGCTTGCTTGTACTGAATACCGGCCTGACGAATGACGCGTCTTATATATTCAAAGGAACGCCATCTAGTGGACGCTAGAATATTCGAGAATCCGTCAGGTGAGAGGCGGTCCAAAGAGATTTCTAGAATTCACACGAAGTTGTATTACTGCGCCATCTAGTAGAGAGTGGATGTGTGACTTAATTTGTAAGATTAGTATAAGCTTGTTTACGTAGGTAAAATAACGACTTGGAGAAAAATGAGAAAACCATAACATTATTGTTAATAAATCTTAATACGTTTGTAATTATAAGTAACGCTTGCTTTTAAATCTTTCGTTATTGTTGTCAGTTTGTTAAAGAACTTGATCTTAATTAAATAGTTATATTTTTATGTTAGAATCTGAATTTCATTAGGGGCTTTATAAAGTGAGTTTTAAATATCCTCTACTAGAGGGCGGTGTATTGAGTACGTATTGATTGGATAAAAATATAAATCCTTTTTTTAAGTAATTATAATTTGCTTTTCATAGATCAGAACATTATAATTTTTTTTTATTTATTTCAGTGCTATTTTTAGAAACCGTGAAAAGTTTTATTTTTGGTAAAGATATAAACTTTTGATAATATGTGTAGAATAATTTCTCATTCGTTAAGATCGAATGTACCAGCATATTAGACTAAAATTGGTTAGCCGTTTCTTCCGATCACATCGCAGGAAAGAGATAAAAAATATAGAGATAATTAAATAATATTAATATTTCCAAAGGCAGTTCATTTTTATATCTATTATGGAGATATTATATTTGTTAAAAATAAAATTCTTGAAATGTGTCTGGTATTCAAAAGAACGCCGTCTAGTGGACGCTAGAATATTCGAGAATCCGTCGTGTAAGAGGCGGGTCAAAAGGTAACTTTACTGCGTTCTAGAATGCTCATTTAAGTTATATACTCCGCCATCTAGTGGAGAGTAGTACTCTGAGGCTTTTATTGTAAGAGAGTTAAAACTTAATTACGTTCGTAAATATTATACAACTTCAACAAAATTTTAAAAATCATTATATTATTGATAAAAATTCTAAAGACGTTTTATATTATGAGTAACGCCTGCTATTAACTCTTTCGTTATTGTTGCCAGTTTGTTACAGAATTTAATCTTGTTAAAATTGTTACATTGTTATGTGAGCAATAATAAAAAAAATATTATTTATATAGTAACCAAGCATATTGTAATCAGGTTACAGTAATACTTCCAGTTTTTTTCTTACCAATAATAAGAGGTAACTTTATTGAAATAGCAAATTTAATTTTGAAGTGCATATTTCGGAATTTAGGCAGGCGTTTTCTAAGTCAAGTCTGCAATATTCACTAATTGCGGACGGTATATTGTGTTCTCGCTTTAGCCCGCGACTCTGCCCGCGTGAACATGAGTGTGTGTTCTTTGTCACTACGGTCACTGAATCAGAACTGCAGTTCATGGTTCCACATCTGTAGTTTTGGTCTTCGAATTAGGGATTGGGATCGGGATAGGGATAGAAGTTAAAAAATAACAGTACGAACTCTGACCCCTAACTACACTTCTAGATAGATCTAGATGAAATATTTTATAAAGAGATTATTAGAATAAAGGGTAGATTACGATATAAAAATGGAGTGTGAATTTAACCTGTGTAATTTAATAAAAGGTAGCCTACGTCCTTCTCCAGGTTACATTTGTATCCATACGAAAATTCATCAAAATCGGTTCAGCGGATTATGCTTGACAGACAGACAGATATTTTCGCAATAATAATATTAGTAAGGGAAGGAATACAAATTACATTTTATTACTCATAAATTGCTTTTCATCGATCACAGCTACATAATTATTTTCATTTTGTTTGTATTATTTAACGAACTTATAAAAATGATGTCATACTATGTAAAAATGAAAATTTCTTAAAATATTATATTTAAAAGTAAGACAAAGGAACGAAATGCATTTCTTTTTATTATTTAGGAGAAACTTGAGTTATTTATAATTTTACAACTGTAACAATCATGAAAATAATTCCTAAAACTATTAATACCTATAATAGGGGACTTCTATTAACTTAAGAGTTTAGAAAATGGTATAAAACACGTAATTAACATTAATAAGGAATAGTTTATTATAATTAATGCTTACGTTCCTGTTTTAATGATATCTCTATAGGTAGTAGGTCAGGAAAATCGAGTTTAGTTATAAAATAGTTACTCTGATTTTAACAAGTGATACATATAATTGGTTGGTTGGTTGTTTAATTTTTAAAATATGGCCCTCATCGGTGCAAAGACGTCCATAGTAAATTTTGCCAGTGTCGAGTAGAATGGAAGAGACACGATCCGGGATTAATCTTTAAATGAAATAAAATTTGACCGCCCGGCTGAAGTCACAATTAGGAACTTTGTTAGTTGAAAAAAATAAAATAAATCACATTCCAGTCTTTCAACATTTATCACGTTTATATTATGTCATTTAGGTTCTGTATTACAGTTGTTTCTTTGTTATTCTTGCTATAAAATTTTTGTTATCTAAAAAAAAAAGTTTCATTTTATTTATTTTTAATTTTTTTAATTGTTTAGTAGGTAATAAGTTGGTAATTTGTTATTGTCTTTTGTAATTTACATTTTATATTGTATTATTATTGGTAGTATTTTTTGTGTCCCCTTTTGTATAATTGAAGTAGAAAAAAAAAGTTGTGTTAGGATAATAGAAAATAACCGTCCTTTTCCTTGGGTGATAACTTTTAATTGAAACAACACTTAGCTAAAAATGTTATTACCTTTAAAACCTATAAATGGTGTATGTTTTGTAAGTTGTCCTTATATAAATAAATAAATAAATAAATAGATCTAAAACAACACAAATTCAATTGATGAAAACATAGGATTTATATACTGTATAAAAAATGTTAAACTAAGACTAATATTAAATAAAGGTAAAACAGTTTATTACATCTTAATCCTATTGATTTTAATATATTTATATATAAATTTACTAAAGGAACCAAACATCAAGAAAAGGACATACATATAACATAATATAATCTGAGTGCTAAGTACTCAATGTCGTTTGATCACAGATAAAATCCATGTATAACCAATGGGTTGGTATAATCATATTCAATCAATCCTGGAACAGTATTGAGGCAGAGTCAAAAGATATTAGAGCCTCGGGACACAATTAAAAATAGGTGTCATTACATCAGAAAAAACTTCTGATAAATCGTAGGGTATTTCATGTTTATTTCAAGTCACGGTTCCAATTTTCTAACCAACTGCAGCTGATTAGGGCTGATAACCATTTATATTAACAAAATATTGCAAACTAGATATTCCTATGACCTAAATTAGAAAAAAAAAAAAAAAACAAATTTTATTCTATGTTTTATTGAGATTTCTTATCATAATACTACTATAATCACATTCTAGGGTATTGTACAAACGTTTATATAAACTTAAATAAATAAATGCATTCGATTAAAAGTAATCAGACTTATTGTTTGACGAGGAATTTTTAAACTATGTTCATTTATTATCACCAGCTCCGGCTTGTGAGTTCTGCTCCTTGATCTCCTTCCTCACGGGTCCGGTCTGCGCGATGGGAACACTTCGTTCATTCTTCGATACCGATGCCACTTTCGGAGCAATAACACTCAACACTCCATCTGAAGACAGCCGTGACTCTACTGTGTCTGGATTACAACCTTCCGGGAGTGCGTATCGTCTAGTGAACTGACGGGATATAAAGCCGTGTTCGTCTTTCTTTTCTTCGTGTTTTCCTTCCACGACTATGTAACCGTCTGCAGTCTTCACAGTTATTTCCTCAGGTTTGAAATGCTGCACGTCCAAGTTGACTTGGAATTTATCTTTGTCCGACTTGATGGTGGATCCGACGTCCCTCGCAGCAGCCGCCATCTGACGCCAGGGTCTGTAGTAGTCTCGTGATAGTAGTGGAGACACGGCAACAGTCAGTAGATCGTCGGGAGTCAAAGACAAGCCGAAGTCCTGATCGATGAGACGGTGAGGACGTTCGTAACCCAGCACGAATGGTAACAGAGACATTTTGGAGTTTAAATACAGAGTTTGTATCGCTTGAAGAATAATAAGGCAACGTAAGGTGGCAGTGCTAGAGCACTAGTAAGTTTCTTGTATCGCTTGCTTGTACTGAATGCCGGCCTGACGGATGTCGCGGGTTATATATTGAATGGAACGCCATCTAGTGTGCGCTAGAATTTTCGAGAATTCGTTGGGCGTGAGGCGGTCCAAAGAGATTTCTACTTTGTTCTAGAATTCGCATTGAAATTGTATTGCCTCGCCATCTATTGGAGAGTAGAATATGGGAATTTTATACGTGATTAAACTTATGAACGTAGCAATGGGACTAAATTTTATAAAATCTTTATAAAATTAATAAAGCAAAATAAATTATGAATGATGAGAAATGTATACTCCTCACACTTTCAATTATTATAAAATACTTTGTGAAAGCAGGTTCTGCGTATAAATTTTTATTTAAATATTTTATTTCTAAAAAATCGGTTACTTTATATTTTAATTATAATCACTGACTGACACAAAATAAAATAATCTTTGTATAAATACCGCCATCTAGTGAAGACAGGTAAATTTGCCAATTCTTCGTTAGAGCGTTAGATACAAAAAAATATTCGGTTCTGGAATTCAAATTAAAGTGGCTTATAAGTACAAAAATTGGATTTATTTGAAAGAAAGACAAAACTTAGCAACGGACATAATTATAATTTATAACATAATCTTGAATCTAGGAAGATTCAAGTGTAATAATGTCTGAATATTGTCACTTATGATTTTACTATCGTATCTAGTTCCGTATTCTACTTTAAGTTGGGTATTAAGTTGGAAGTAAAGCTTCCTTTTCACTCTCACAATATTATATACTATTTGTGATAGAAATTTATCAATCGTAGACCCAGTTTCACCAATCAATGTTTGTTTTATCTAATCACAGCATTTACTAACCAACCTTCAAAATTATATATGTCTGTTTGTCATGTCAAATGACGTTTAATAATGCGTTAATTAAATTAAATTATTCGTTCTTGTTATAAGACGACCAAGTGGAAACTATAGCGTTTAACACGGCACGTTTGTCACGATGCACCACTTTGTACTTTGATCACATCGTTGGTTGGATACATTTGGCACACAAAAAGCTTTCTTTTCAATTTACTAGGTGTAACCTGTCAAAATCGGGCTGTCAATAAATTGTGTTATATATTATTATGTTATAAATATAGGCATAAATTGTGTTCAAATTATAAGAGATAAAAAGAAAATTTAATTTGCATTGTTATAAAAAAGCTGTAGGCAAAATCATCATAGGAAATGAAATTTTAATTCACTTTATTAATATGTAATAACAAGGAAATAGTCGAAACTGACAAAACAGATGACGTTACTATGGTTACAAGAAATCATGGCTGTGATTGGACAATTGAGTTTTGACAATGCCATTAACATTCTTTTTTTTTTTTTGATTTATTGGAACCACAAACAAGTTTACAATTATAGTTTCTTATAGCTTAATTAGTAGGTACATATTAGTTATTGTAAACTCTACAACGATGGTCACATCTGTTAGCCATTAGACGGAGCTCAAGAGCAGGAATTAATATTAGTGGCTGGTTAAGACATTTAAACGGACATTTGTGCCTGGTGGGATGCTCGATACATCTAACAGAACATCAAACGCATTAACACGATGTTACTTATATAACATTGATTGGTGAAACTGGGTCTTAGGTTTTTATCAACATCACTCAGAGGTCCAAAACAAAATTAATTATTTTCAATGTAATTCATTCCAATAGAGATTAAATTTATTGCATTTCTGAATTGCCTCTACACACGCTAGTGACATCACATCATCAACGAGCTTGAAACCTTTTTGAAAGATTACAAAACTTTTATTTACTTTATATTTAAACCTGGGGAAATATAACCTAAGTGTCCTTTGGACAAAACAATGTGTCTTTTAAATGGAACTGCAATATTGGCGTTACTTCTAGTTTTCTGATTCTGTAATCCCACTTAATAGCAGAAGTATAGTATAAAAGGCACTTGTATAAAAGCTAATGTATGTTGCTTTTGTGTAATTATCAATATTGTGTAAAGAATAGTAACAATCATAATAATTATATCATAATTTTAATTTTGAGCACTGCAACAATCATCGAGTTAGCTTATAAAGAAATAGAAATAAAATTTAAGAAAGAATAAATGAAGGAACAAAACATAAATAATATTCATTTATTAAATGATTCAAGGATTACAAAAATAATAAGTAAACATTTTTTTATACTTAAAACGGTTCAATGTTGTAAATAAGTCTTTTATTGTTGTCTGCCCATGGAAGGAATGTGTGTTTGATAGCGATGATGCATTCCAGCAGCATCATGTCTGTAACATCAGTCCTTGGAGATCTAGATGGCTCTTGGTTCATAACAGTTCTGTATATCTTCTGTATTGTGTACCTCTCTCTCCTGGGAGTTGTGTTCGTCGTCATATTAGCAAGGGCTTCGTTGATTTCGTCGATGTCACTTGGATCTCGTTGGTTTTCATTACCAGGGGCTGACGGACCAGCAAGCTGGGCCCCTGAGGCGTTTAACCCTTGATTCTCCAGTATTGAATTGTTTGCGCTAGATGGAGCTGTTGTATCTTCAACCTTACGTTTCCTTTCTTCAATAAGCAAGCTGTTAGGATCGACACAAAATAGATCATCTGGCAGCTGAGCATTCGCTTCAATATACTCTGACCTTAATACTTTATAATCGAATTTGTTTCCTTTACGAGCGACGAGACACACCGGCTTAGGAAGCTCAAGGAATGAATTGATTGTGTTCACTTTGTCTTTAAAAATTGGTTGATTCATTAAATACTCGTTCGATAATCCTGATGATTTCGCTATTTGACTTGGTATGTCCTTTTGTGGGTTGATCAATAGCGACAGTTTCCCAAATGGCGGTAAAATCCCATTTTCAGCTTTTACAATATCCATACGAGACACTGCTATCAATGTTAGCTCAGTAATTTTAGGAGCACTCTTCGCTTTAGCACTGTATCCAACTGTATTAATATCCAAGAACACAAACGTTGATATATTCATTGTATCTGATGAACGACCGACTCCGTAATAAGTTGCAATAACACTGCGAAGTCAACAGCGCAAAGCGCTACCATTTAACATGACGACGAAAGAGTAAAATAATATCAGAGGGTCCAATATTATTCTATAATATTTTAAAAATATGTTCATACAATAAATCTTTATGTTAAGTCATTAGAAACATTCTAAACGAATATACACTTTTAAGATTAAATGCAGTGCAATGTTTATCTTACATTTTCTATGAAGCATATGTATGTCGTCTCTTAACCGCGTATGGTATACTAAATAACCAGTGAGCTTTTAATATGTGATCTTTGTAAATGACTCATAGCCTGACGTCATTATCACTGTTTGTGCTTGGTGCAGTTATCATTCAATAGTACTTCTAACTCGAGTACATTTAAAGTTTATTTCGTCATTTATTTCATTCAAACCAAAAATAAAATCATTTTTCAAATGTATGCTTATCTCAAGCTGTTGCATGCTTTGTCTAATAATTGTGAATTGAATATTAAGTTAATTTCGCAATAATTTGTATTCAGAAACAGATATCAAACTATTGATATTATCAATTATATTCTGTGAGTGCGATCATATTCATACATGATACAGGCCCTTTAATTTCCCATTAAAACATTATAGTACATAATAGGTAGGAATGGTTTATTTTTATTCTAAACGAGAGTGTTTATATACATATTACTTTTTAATAAAGAAGTAAATTGGATATATTCTATTGCATTGTAGTATCAATATGATTTAAAGTACTGTAAAACAAGACTAGCAATAAACGCAAATAACAGAAGTAAAACAGAAGTAATACGTTAATATTAGAACGAAATAGGGTGTGATGACAAATAAAAAATAATACAGTTTATACACTGATAAAATGTATATAATAAAAGACAGTGTAAAATCTGGAATATTTAATTATATTTCAATCTGATATCGTACATATTTTAGGGAACAGGAAACAGATATTATTATGAGTATTTCTAGCTGAGTAGCGTTCATTATAGTATTAAAAAGGCTATGAATTCATAATTAATCAATCAATTTTACTCTTTTTTATATAAAAATCCATCAAACGCACATCTATGTTACCCAGTTTTGTTTATTATATTATAGTTTGTTCAATAAAAGAAATATATTGTCATTGGCGAAGTATTTCACAAATTCAGTGTTAATGGAGCCATACATCGTTTATGGTAAAAAAAATAGTGTTAACAAAACAACTGTCAGAACATTGAGGTTTAAGATATTTATTGTTTCATAAAGAATATTACATAGATTTTTAGGTGGTAGAGCCTAGCTGTAGTCAGTTACTACAGCTCGAACATGGGCTGGCTCGACCGGGGAAGTACCACCCTTTCACAGAAGATCGGCGTGAAGTAGCCTTTAATGGCTGCGTTTCGTCCGATGAGTGAGAGAGCCGGTTGCCCTTTCCCTATTCCCACCCTTTCCTACCATTTCCGTATTCCCACCCCTCCCTTACCCTACAAAACAAGGTTGGCAATGCATCCGCAACATAGATGTTGCGGGTGTCAGTGGACGACGGTAACCACCTTCCATCAAGTGGGCCGTCTGCTCGTTTGCCAGCTTTCACATTAAAAAAAAAATATTCACTTAAATGAAACTTAAGACTAATTTACAAAATTATTTACATAAATGTTTACATTTTTGAGCATACGAAACATTACAATTTATAACTAAGCGGAATCAGGGATTGAAATAGATAATGTTCAGATGTAAACATTAACGGTTTTTAAATTATAAGTTGTCACGTTTAGGGATTCTACAATAATGACTTAATAAATATTTCCAGCTGAATGAGTGTTTGAAGTTTGTAGTAAACCTTAGAATAGAACAACTTTAATAATATTAAATATTATTTGATACTTATCAAACCTGCTTATAATAATTGTAACGGCTGCCAAATTAAAGACAAAGTGTCCAGAGACCAGATCTATTTTCTAAAATACGATACAATCTTCAACAAAAGTAGAAAGAGTTTTAAATTGCCAGAAGGGACTCCTTTTTATTGCTTAAGTTTGAATCAATACCTTGTCATATTCTTATACTGTATATCACAATCTTCTTAATCTGATTTAATATATGAATTAGAACATCTGTTTTTTGTTTTGTCTGAAAGATTACTAATTAGGATACTTATCATTACATTGAGATTTCTAAATGTTTGTAATGAGTGAGTGAGTATGAAAAATATATAAATAGCTGAAAAAATACGAAGTCTGTTATAATGCTGTAGATGACAATTTGACAACTACTGAGTATTGGATCAGTTTGAGTTTATTTATAGAAATAAATAGGAGCTGTATTGACTAAGGGTAATTGGAATTTAGCAAGTGATTCACTAAGAAGTTGTACTGTTTTAATAATTTAATATTTTTTTTAAAATGTCAGTTGTGTTTTGAAATTAAAGTACTACCTAATACTTAAAAAACTTATTAATTTTAATATTTCTCCCTTGTGTGTTGACATTATATTATATATTTGTACATTGTATTTTTTTTACTGTTATAAACTGCCTTCACCAAACTGAACTTATAAAAACAAAAGGTGTGATAGTTATATTTCAGCATCAATTATTTAAAAAAAATATATTTTTAAAATACGGGCAGTCTTTCTTTCTGCCCTTTAATAATTTTTTTAAAAAACTATATATCTATTTTATCAATGACTGCAGTACCTACATAATAATATCTTTTTATTTATTCATCAGTTTTAATCTAATACAACAGAATGTTGTGAACTTCAATGATAATATTCTGTTGATTGCTTCAAATTGGTTCAAAAATTAATTATAAACCAATTTAAAAAAAAAAGTTGACCTAATAGTTAGAAGCTTAACAAGTAGTTCTGAGACAGAGTATAGCTTCGTTGAAAACTCCCAATGAGATAAGAAGAATAAAAAGAAAAATATATTATCTGTGAGTCCATGGCAAAATATACCACTTAAAAATACTTCACATGAAAGTCTAAAGAAAATCTTACATATACATATGTATATTCACTGTATACTAGAATGAGGTAATGTTTTATGAATAATACTTGAATTAAATAGTGGATATTAAAACCACTAGGTATATCAACTATAAGTGTTGGAATTTAGATATATGTATAAAAGGACATTTAGAGTTGTTATATGAGTATATACAGTTTTATGGCTATCAACATATTTAATCTATTATAAAGGGTATTTGTAACAGTTATAATTATTATAAAGAATGATATATTTTTTGTAAGTATTCATTTGTGACTGTTTAAATCAAAGAAACCATATTAAAAACATTCAAATAAATTTAATCTCTCAAATCAATCCTGATAATTATAGGTACATACATTGAGAATAACATTGCGTATGGTTAAAATAAATGACCTAACCCATATTTAAGACTCTTGAATGGTTCAGTTAAGTCAAAATACAAACAGATCGAATTTCAGTCAGTTATTATACTTCATCTACCAAAAGAATTATGAATAAATACGCTTTTAGTAACATCACACTGGACTCGATCATCGAAAACGAACATGTATTCTGCATACCTACGATATGTGTAGTTTATTTATTACCATAGTAAATTATTTCATTATATTATTGATTATTATACACAAGACCTTGTAAAAAGATAAAAAAAAAAACAAAGTTCCTTTGTATATGACTGTTTATTTAACTTTAAAGTAATAAATAATAAAAGGTAAGTACTAAAATCACATATGAAGGTAAGTTACAAAACTTAAATGCATACGATTAAAAGTAATCAGACTTATTGTTTGACGAGGAATTCTTAAACTATGTTCATTTATTATCACCAGCTCCGGCTTGTGAGTTCTGCTCCTTGATCTCCTTCCTCACGGGTCCGGTCTGGGCGATGGGAACACTTCGTTCATTCTTCGATCCTGATGCCACTTTCGGAGCAATAACACTCAACACTCCATCTGAAGACAGCCGTGACTCCACTGTGTCTGGATTACAACCTTCCGGGAGTGCGTATCGTCTAGTGAACTGACGGGATATAAAGCCGTGTTCGTCTTTCTTTTCTTCGTGTTTTCCTTCCACGACTATGTAACCGTCTGCAGTCTTCACAGTTATTTCCTCAGGTTTGAAATGCTGCACGTCCAAGTTGACTTGGAATTTATCTTTGTCCGACTTGATGGTGGATCCGACGTCCCTCGCAGCAGCCGCCATCTGACGCCAGGGTCTGTAGTAGTCTCGTGATAGTAGTGGAGACACGGCAACAGTCAGTAGGTCGTCGGGAGTCAAAGACAAGCCGAAGTCCTGATCGATGAGACGGTGAGGACGTTCGTAACCCAGCACGAATGGTATCAGAGACATTTTGGAGTTTAAATCACGAGTTTGTATCGCTTGAAGAATAATAAGGCAACGTAAGGTCGCAGTGCCAGAGCACCAGTTATAATACTTGTATCGCTTGCTTGTACTGAATGTCGGCCTGACGGATGACGCGGCATATATATTGAACGGAACGCCATCTAGTGAACGCTAGAATTTTCGAGAATTCTTTCGTTGAGAGCCGGGTTAAACGACATTTCTACTGCGTTCTAGAATTCGCATGGAGTCGTGTGACTGCTCCATCTAGTGGAGAATAGAACATTGTGATTTCAAATAAAGTCCCAGTTTACTACTGTCCACTAGATGGCAGGTTTTTGTATTCTAGAACGAAGTAGATTGTCCTGTCCTCACTAGATGGCGGTCATTTCAACATATCTTAAGACTACTTTAATTAATAAAACTATTTTTTTATTTTGTATTAGTTAGTGTATATAACTAAATTATAAAGTAAATAATTCTATTTAAATTTTATGAGAAATTACTAATAAAATAAATTAATATAATGGATCCACCATAAACAGACTTTTTAAAAAATTGCACATAATATTGCAAGTGTAAATAGAAAGCATATTATTTCATATTCTATAATTTATTCAGATTGTTATTGTCAAAATGTAAACGCTAT